GAGATCATCGCCCGCTACCTCAAGATGGACCTCCGTGGTGGTGAAAAGGCCTACGTGACATCCCAAGAGACCCAGAAGACGCTGCAGGCTCAGCTGGACTTGTGGCAAGCAGAGCACGGCGACTTCTACGCCTCGGGCATTGAGCCATCATTCAATCAGTTGAAGGCCCGTATCTACGACTCCTCATGGAACTGGGCTCGTCAAGATGCTCTCAGCATGTACTACGATATTATCTTTGGTCGCCTGCAAGTGGTGGACCGCGAAATTGTCAGCCAGTGTATCCGCATCATGAACCGCTCCAACCCCCTCCTCCTTGACTTCATGCAGTACCACATCGACAACTGCCCGACTGAGCGCGGAGAGACCTATCAGCTGGCCAAGGAACTTGGACAGCAGCTCATTGAGAATTGTCGCGAAGTGTTGGAAGTTGCTCCAGTTTACAAGGACGTCGCTGTGCCTACTGGCCCCCAAACAACCATCGATGCCCGTGGCAACATTGGCTACAAGGAAGTTCCCCGCACCAGTGCTCGCAAGCTTGAGCACTACGTCAAGCACATGGCCGAAGGAGGCCCGATCTCCGAGTACAGCAACCGCACCAAGGTTCAGAACGACCTTAAGAGTGTTTACAAGCTCATTCGCAAGCAGCATCGTCTTTCCAAGTCGTCCCAGCTCCAGTTTGATGCACTGTACAAGGACGTTGTTCACGCTCTCGGTATGAACGAGGGCCAAATCATCCCCCAGGAGAACGGTCACTCCAAGAAGGGCGGCCGTAGTGCTGCCAAGCGCACTACTCCCACTCGCCCTGGCAAGGTGGAGACTATTCCATTCCTGCACCTGAAGAAGAAGACCGAACACGGCTGGGACTACAACAAGAAGCTGACTGGCATCTATCTGAATGTGATGGAGTCGGCTGCCAAGGACGGTCTTAGCTTCCAGGGCAAGAACGTTCTGATGACCGGTGCTGGTGCCGGTTCCATTGGTGCCGAGGTTCTCCAAGGTCTGATCAGTGGTGGTGCTCAAGTCATTGTCACTACCAGTCGCTTCTCGCGCGAGGTAACCGAGTACTACCAGGCCATGTACGCCCGCTACGGTGCTCGTGGTTCCCAGCTTGTGGTGGTGCCGTTCAATCAAGGCAGCAAGCAGGATGTCGAGGCCTTGGTCGAGTACATATACGACAGCAAGAAGGGTCTTGGCTGGGACTTGGACTTTGTCGTTCCCTTTGCTGCCATCCCAGAGAACGGCCGTGAGATCGACTCTATCGATTCCAAGTCCGAGCTGGCTCACCGTATCATGTTGACCAACCTGCTCCGTCTTCTGGGCTCGGTCAAGGCCCAAAAGCAAGCTCATGGCTTCGAAACCCGCCCCGCTCAAGTTATCTTGCCCCTGTCACCAAACCACGGCACCTTTGGCAATGATGGCTTGTACTCTGAGTCCAAGCTGGCTTTGGAGACTCTGTTCAACCGCTGGTACTCGGAGAACTGGGGCCACTATCTCACCATCTGTGGTGCGGTCATTGGCTGGACCCGTGGTACTGGTCTAATGAGCGGCAATAACATGGTCGCCGAAGGCGTCGAGAAGCTGGGCGTCCGTACATTCTCCCAGCAGGAGATGGCTTTCAACCTTCTCGGACTGATGTCTCCGGCCATCGTCAACCTTTGTCAGCTCGACCCAGTCTTTGCTGATCTTAACGGTGGTCTGCAATTCATTCCAGACCTGAAGGGCCTGATGACCAAGCTTCGCACCGACATCATGGAGACTAGCGATGTCCGCCAGGCTGTCATCAAGGAGACCGCCATCGAGCACAAGGTTGTTAACGGCGAAGACAGTGGAGTTCTTTATAAGAAGGTTGTTGCTGAGCCCCGTGCCAACATCAAGTTTGAATTCCCTAACCTGCCCGACTGGGAGAAGGAAGTCAAGCCGCTCAATGAGAATCTTAAGGGCATGGTCAACCTGGACAAGGTGGTCGTCGTCACTGGTTTCGCTGAAGTCGGTCCATGGGGTAACTCCCGTACCCGATGGGAGATGGAATCTAAGGGCAAGTTCTCATTGGAGGGCTGCGTTGAGATGGCGTGGATCATGGGTCTGATTAAGCACCACAACGGTCCCCTCAAGGGCCAGGCCTACTCTGGCTGGGTGGATGCTAAGACTGGCGAGCCCGTTGATGATAAGGATGTCAAGCCCAAGTACGAGAAGCACATCTTGGAGCACAGTGGTATCCGTCTCATCGAGCCTGAGTTGTTCAAGGGATACGATCCTAAGAAGAAGCAGCTCCTTCAAGAAATTGTCATCCAGGAGGATCTCGAACCTTTCGAGGCTTCTAAGGAGACAGCTGAAGAGTTCAAGCGTGAGCATGGAGACAAGGTTGAGATCTTCGAGATTCCCGAGTCTGGAGAGTACACCGTCCGTCTTTGCAAGGGCGCCACTATGCTCGTTCCCAAGGCGCTCCAGTTCGATCGTCTTGTCGCCGGTCAAGTGCCCACGGGCTGGGACGCCAGCCGCTATGGTATCCCCGACGATATCATCTCCCAGGTGGACCCTGTGACACTCTTTGTCCTGGTCTGCACTGCTGAGTCTATGCTTTCCGCCGGTATCACCGACCCTTACGAGTTCTACAAGTATGTCCACCTCTCTGAGGTCGGTAACTGTATTGGCTCCGGTATCGGTGGTACCCACGCTTTGCGCGGCATGTACAAGGATCGCTTCCTCGACAAACCTTTGCAAAAGGATATCTTGCAAGAGTCCTTCATCAACACCATGTCCGCCTGGGTCAACATGCTGCTGTTGTCCTCTACCGGTCCTATTAAGACTCCCGTCGGTGCTTGCGCCACGGCTGTTGAGTCTGTGGATATTGGTTACGAAACCATTGTCGAGGGCAAGGCCCGTGTTTGCTTCGTTGGTGGTTTCGATGACTTCCAGGAGGAGGGCTCTTATGAGTTCGCCAACATGAAGGCCACTAGCAACGCTGAAGATGAATTCGCCCACGGTCGCACCCCGCAAGAGATGTCACGACCCACTACCACCACTCGCGCTGGCTTCATGGAGTCCCAGGGTTGCGGTATGCAGCTCATCATGACTGCACAGCTTGCTCTCGACATGGGTGTCCCCATCCACGGTATCATTGCTCTGACTACCACCGCTACCGACAAGATCGGACGATCTGTTCCCGCTCCTGGCCAGGGTGTCCTGACTACTGCCCGCGAGAACCCTGGCAAGTTCCCTTCCCCTCTGTTGGACATCAAGTACCGTCGCCGTCAATTGGAGCTCCGCAAGAAGCAGATCAATGAGTGGCAAGAAGCCGAACTTCTGTACCTCCAGGAGGAGGCTGATGCTATGAAGGCTCAGAGTGACGAGACCTTCAACGAGGCCGAGTACATGCAGGAGCGTGCTCAGCACATTGAGCGCGAAGCCATTCGCCAGGAGAAGGATGCCCAATACAGCCTGGGTAACAACTTCTGGAAGCAGGATTCCCGCATCGCTCCCCTCCGTGGTGCCATGGCTACTTGGGGTCTCACCGTCGACGACATTGACATCGCATCCTTCCACGGTACCTCGACTGTCGCGAACGACAAGAACGAGTCCGATGTCATTTGCCAACAGATGAAGCACCTTGGACGCACCAAGGGTAATGCAGTGATGGGTATCTTCCAGAAGTACCTCACTGGTCACCCCAAGGGTGCCGCCGGTGCCTGGATGTTCAACGGCTGTTTGCAGGTCTTGGACAGCGGTCTCGTGCCGGGCAACCGCAACGCTGACAACGTTGACAAGGTCATGGAGAAGTTCGACTACATTGTCTACCCCAGCCGCAGCATCCAGACCGACGGCGTCAAGGCATTCTCTGTCACCTCCTTCGGTTTCGGTCAGAAGGGTGCTCAGGTCATTGGTATTCACCCCAAGTACCTGTTTGCCACTCTTGACCAGGCTCAGTACCAGGCCTACAAGACTAAGGTCGAGGGTCGCCAGAAGAAGGCCTACCGCTACTTCCACAACGGCCTGATCAACAACAGCATCTTCGTTGCCAAGAGCAAGGCTCCTTACGAGGATGATCAGCAGAGCAAGATCTTCCTCAACCCCGACTACCGTGTGTCTGTCGACAAGAAGACCTCTGAGCTCAAGTACTCGAACACTGCCCCCGAAGCCAAGCAGTCCGAAAGCACTCGGCAGACCCTCGAGTCCCTTGCCAAGGCCAACGCCGCCGAGAACTCCAAGGTCGGTGTTGACGTCGAGCACATCGATTCCGTCAACATTGAGAACGAGACCTTCGTTGAGCGCAACTTCACTCAGAGTGAACAAGACTACTGCCGCAAGGCTGCCTCCCCACAGTCCTCGTTCGCAGGCCGATGGAGTGCCAAGGAAGCTGTCTTCAAGTCATTGGGTGTCAGCAGCAAGGGTGCCGGTGCTGCCCTGAAGGATATTGAGATCGGAGTTGATGTTAACGGTGCTCCGGTGGTGAACGTAAGTGCATGATTACCCCATGATTTTCAGTGACAAACGCTAACATATCTCCAGCTTCATGGTGCCGCTGCCGCCGCCGCTAAGCAGGCGGGTGTCAAGCAGATCAGCGTTAGCATCAGCCACAGTGACTCCCAAGCAGTTGCTGTTGCGGTCTCGCAGTTTTAGAGGTGCATTTTCTTTTCCTGTTCGCATATAGACCCCAGAGGCTACAGGCTCTCTTGGGTTGAGACGTAATGATTGTGATATATATTTTTTTTTAGATTTCGAACCAGCTTCGTCTCCTGGTTCGTTGTGTTTATAATGGGAGTGATGACATTTATTAGTTCTTTTTTTTCTGAATTCTTTTTTTCAACAGAGCTCTATACAGTGTACAATGTATAGTAATCCCCAACAGTTCCCTGTGTATTGTGCTAGGCCCCCGTCCCAACAGAATGTATTCCTTGAGCCTGCTTAGTCACACGTCATGTAGCTTACTATTTATGTTATTCAGCATTCCATTTCACATCTGCGTGAAATCCCTCAGGCACTACTTCTACTAATCTATCAAAATGGCTGTTGGCAGCTGTTTCTGCGGCAAGGTCCGAGTCGAATACAACGGCCAACCTCTAACAACGGCAAGTACAATCTATACATTCACTTTTTTGTTAAGCTAATTATGTTCTCCAGGCACTGTGTCACTGTCTTGATTGTCGCAAGATTACGGGGTCCCTCTTTACGTTCAATCTTCTCGTTAAAACTGCCGAACTAGATATCTCCGGAAGTCCAAAAGAGATAGTAAAAACATCAGACAGTGGAAATACTATCAAGAACTACTTCTGTCCTGACTGTGGTATGTATTATACTAAATTCTAAAGTCTAGAACAACTGACAAAAGTGACAGGCACGCCGATTTTTGGACATAAGATCAAGCCCAATGGAGATCGTAACGAGGTTACGGTCGTCCGGGCGGGAATCTTTGATGTTGAAATGTTGAATGAAGGGAAGCCTCAGCTGGAGGTATTCACTGAGAGACGAGTGAAGTGGGTTTGTCCAGTTGAGGGGGCTACTCAAGTTGATGGGATGTTGCCAATACCATCCGCGTAACCTATGATCGAGCTTGGGGTACGGATCTCTATCAGGAGGCTTATGCGGCCCGTATTCTTGACGTCGAAGAGCCGTTGATCCCACTTGTTCTGTTCGATGTATGTTTCTTCATTTCGCTTTGGCACATAACAGAAACCAGGCAGTTTCTATTAAAACCAGAAGAAATGTTACTTCCAGTCAAAACATTTCTTCAAGTCAAACATTACACATACAGTCATTTTATAAGTTTTTATACACTCAAAATGTTATTGGACATTTCGAAGGTATTCAAAGTAGTTGTCGTGTTCTAATCGTAAGCCCTTGCAGCTTTATCATAGCCAGACTCGACGCAAATCATAGCCTTTGCCCAATTTGGAACAATAGAGCGAACACTGAACATCTGGAAACCTGCACTGACTTCATATATATGATCGGTAGCGTGATGTCAACTCTGTTCTTCAAGGAATAGCTCATATAGGATCGAGCAACTTGTTCAGTCTGCTTTCCAATCTGCATGTGATCGAGCCATGGATACAAATTGGTATAATGGTCTCGGTTCACAGCTTTGCCCCTGGGTTGAGCTTTACGATCTGAGCCGAACCGACCTATCTCGGAGCCCTTCCAACTTGTGTCTGGCGTCTGCAGCTCGCCGTCATGACCCTGGCCCTAGATCTTTAACGGCAATGTTTGGCCCGAAGCTTGTCCTGGGAAGTTTATCCAAATATCGTGTAGAGCTTCGGCCAATACCAGGCTATTTCTTGTCTTTCCGCTGTAAGTTGCCCTGCCTACAACATCGCTATCATATTGATGGATTAACTGACAATATTCCTCATAATATAGTCTGAAGAAGTTGTTAACGAAATAAAAACAAAGTATGCAACTGATATTGACGGATCCTGCCATGTACCATGTGACCAGACAATATCAAGAGTCATCCGTGAATAAAGTCTCGTACGCAACAATGCATCACTAAAAGTCTATGGTATTACTTAATCTCAGTTTCTTGCCTTGAATGCGCCAAAACCCGATGGGTAATTAGTAAACTAACCAAATAACCGTAATTTAAAGTGATAAGCTAGCACTTTTATATATCTAAATTGTGAATAGTTAACTTATATAAATGAGGGCGGATAACGGCTGATAACGGCATGATCAGTGATGCACATTTACTCCCGTGGGAGTAGTCCCATGGGACCATATGGGACTCCCATATAGTCCCACGGGAGTGCCAAGCGGCGGGACCAAGTTGCTAGTCCTGTCCTGTAGGAGCTTGGCGGGACTCCCATGGGACTGACTATAAACAGTGCAAATATATAGAAAAACGTGACTTATATAAGTTATGTATGAGATACTAAGAGAATCGTGTGATCCCCAAAGCCTCTCTGGGATATACTCCTACACCAATAGTCTCTACGAAGCACCGTACGGACCCTCACGTGACCATACTTGCATACATAGGCCTTCCAGGCTCCCGTACTCTATAGTATTTAGTCGTTGGCATATCCAACTAGACTGCGACATCGCCCATGGACGGGCGGGTGGGCATTGCCCACGGGCCTTAGGCGTCGTGGGCGCCAGACTGTCGGTGGGGCATGCCTTCTCCTTGCGTTCTCATAATTTTCAATGGACAGTGCGTGATGTTACAGTGACAGATCATAAGTACTTCCAAGGCTGCACCACCTAAGCTCACAATGGGCCCGGATCTAGGGCTCAAGGCCCAACCCAACCCAGGGCCCCCATTATACCTAGGTAGCCCACAAGGGGGTTCAACTGGCATCTTGTAATCGCTGTACAATATTGTATTCTGGCCTTTCTACTGACTGTATAGGGCTTAAATTTCGAGAATATACTTCAATTTTAAATAAATTCCGACTTTTAGGGGGCAAGATATCGCGAAAAATGTTAATATCAATGTTCCGAGGTTCGATATACAACATTGTAACTAGTACATTGGGAAGTTATGTGGGAGTCCTATTACTTTCGAGTAAACCTATGTAATTTAGAAAATTATCTAAATGGCGCGTTTTCTTATAAATTTAACTAATTTTTGATTAATTAAAATAAGAGAATATTACCAAAATATTTGCATTGTTTAGTGTCAAATTGTAATCGAGTTGCTGGGAAGTTCTGAATGTAATGGAACAAGCTGTACCAGAACCAAAGCATCTTCAAGCCATTCTTCTCAACTCGAAGATAACTCTACCACCGTCCACAGCCCAAGAACCGGTCACTTCCAGCCTGCCTGGAATCTGTGAGAACAGCACCTCCCACTGTTCCCTTGTCCGGAATAGGGTGCCCAGGACCGCCAGCATATGCATATTCATCGAGCTTCCGTAGCACGAATGGAATTGATGCGAATTAACAAGCTCGATGCCGTCATCGATCAAGAGGACAGACTTTTTTGGAGTCATGGCTTCAGCGATACCTTCTAGAATGCGTCGACAGTCACTAGCTCTTTCATTAGAAATTTCGACCCATGCCGTAGACGTAGGCGCCCTTACCTTGCTGAATTGTCCATCAAAATATTACACAACATGTAGATGTCTGCGCCTTTAACGGGTTGCTCCGTGAAGTAGTCATGCTGCTGCCACTGGAGTCGACGATACACGCCCTCATCGTTGACGTCTTCCTTGCTCGGGAAGGCGCTTTCGTAGTCTTGGATAATAAAAGATAACTGCGGGTGTCGTCTAGCAATTCGGATGGAATGTTGTCCGCGTCCTCCGCCGATGTCGACAACAACAGCGCCAGGCTTCAAGCAGGTAAAATCGAAGGTGTCCTCGATACTCGTCTGTGCGGCCCCCGCGACGTGGCGCTGGAGGCCTTTATCGAAGCGTTCGCTCCGAAGGGGGTGAGCCGAGCGTAGGTATTGGTAGAAGGGCTCATCAGCTGGCCATTTTAGTGCTGCGTTCTTCAGAAAGCCTCGAGCTCTATCTAGAGGACTCACTGTCAAATGCTATCTGGAAGGCGCTCCGGTGCTGACCCTCTACTATCTGTCCGCGGTTATCACGAACATACTGCGGGAGGGAAGCTGCTGCTTGTAGGCCTACATCTGCTCTGATTCGTGTATTGTTAGTGACTATAGCAAAAAGCACCATCCGGTCCAATATGACATACAGGTAGTGGGCCCAGGATGCGCTATTATCATCCAAAAGATAACCTGACCGATTGTTAAGCTTGTACAATTCCAGAGAGGGCTCATCGAGAATATGTTGTGCCACGACCTCCTTCAGCGCACATCCTTGAAACGGTTAGCAAGCTGTGTCCAAAGCCAAGATCAAGCAGGCTTTTATACTCAACAGCTCCCTGGAATAGTCCGAGCATCTGACTAGGGTATCCAACGACGCACTTCCTCCGTTCTTTGAGAGTAGATGGAAAATATTCAGGTCGAGGAGAATGCAGATTGCCGCACTGCCATTGTACGATAAAGCTATACGCTCAACCCAACTTTCTGGAGTGCTAACCAAAGCATTGAGCTCCGTGCAGGTGGCAGAGATAGACCGAATGACTTCACTGGCTTCGGCACCTACATTATTCGCCTCGTCATATTTGCGGACGAGTTGTGTAATGCGAGAGGCGAGGAGTTCTGCTTCGGTGCTCTGACGGGTCATTATGCCTGCGTTGTAGAGTGCTCAGTTGAGTGAAAGAAAGAGGAGAAGCCTGGTGGTGGGAACTAGATGTGGATAGATTTCTAGATCGGAGAGTCCAGTACTCAGTAGACGAACAATGTAGGAAATTTATAGTCACTGTGTCCAAAATCTGGCAGGAATTGTGGCGCAGACCGGAAGTCCCTTTGCTGTCCGTTCAATGGGACAAGCACAAGGCATTATAGCAAGGATAAGCAGCGCCCTTACTTCCCGGGCCCAGCCTAATGTGGGCCCAACTTAAGCCCTATACCGCATGTCTATGCTAGAGTGGTTGCCAGGAATGTGATCGGCAAGGTTCTTTTTTTTTTTTTTTTAAAGAAGAATACGGGTTCTCGTTACTAAATTACTAAATCCGTAGGCACTGTCACAATTTAGTGTATTTCTCTTATTACGAAATAGATATATTTGGAATCCTTGAGAGCCCGTAACGCTACAACCATCACCGCAATCAACTTGCATTCAGGGCCAACATCCTACGCCTTTAGCAGAGAGAGGGGAAAATCCGATGAAGCTACAAGAAGCGATGAAATGAAATGTACGAGTTGATTGTAAAAGAGAAAAAAGAAGAGAGAGAAGGAACTATCTACTATGTGGGGGAGAAAGGCTGAAACTAGGGCTGGACAATCACGTGCTCAAATCAAAGACAAAGTGGATGATCATTCATTCTAGCTACTGGTCCTGCCTATATAAACAGGCCAACAAAGGAGAACAAAGAGACTATCTAGAGGCTTGCTAGCAAGCTGCGCCTGGTCTGGCATAGATTGCCCGTCGGCCCTGTAACCAATGATTTGCTAGATGATCTCCCGATGCGGAACTATTTCTGAAATCGACTCCCCTTCCAACTGCAACAGTGCACGGAGACTGGTGAACTCATTATTGCTGCATAGCCTCGCGCCAAGGCCCACAAGACCAACAGAGTAGCACCCACCCGGAGACCTCGCTTTTCCAGTCCAATCCCTCTTTCCCGTAGGTGCTTGAGCTCATCTATAACAAGGGCCGCTGTTACAGAAGAGCAGTCCTATCTGTTGGCCTGCAACCGCATGACTTGCAAATTCTCGGAGAAGCTTGCACAGCGGTAGAACCCTTGGAATGTTCACAGCAAGCTGACTTCGTAGTGTCCCGGGTCGTTCGTAAGAACTTCATTATATCCGTCCCACCAGTACCCCTTCCACGTTCTTGCAAGTGTATGTGTCCGCTTATGGGGGCTTTTTTTCCAGCGGGAATAAGGATATACCTCGCTACCACGCGGAGATGGCAGTCTCGTAATGCTGTAAGCCGTAAAACTGCTTCATCATACAGCTGTCGGACATCCGAATCATTTCCCAGGCTCAGTACGTACGGTCGCAGGTTCGACGCACTTGTCATGAGCTCCAGAAACTCCCGGTGTGGGCCAGGCATGTAATTTCTCATATCCTAAATTGCACTCATTAGCTCGGACTGAGCCATCGTTTGCCTCTTCTCGATCCCGAGGCGCACCTTGATGAAGTCCACGTCCTGGTCAACTCCCAGAATAATATCCATTAACTGGATAAACGAGCTCTGCGCATTACTTCCGCCGCTGTATGCTAACCACTGCCCCTCTCCCCCTTCGCATTGACATTGAGGGTAAAATATTCCATCCGGTAGTCCCGCCTCGGCCATGTTCTTACTCCCTCGCAAGTAGGGACGCAATCTGTGATAGAAGAATTCCTGAGAAAGATTCTCGTCCAGACGATCCAAAGTCATGATGATACCGTCAATGCACGTGACAAACGCCTCCAGGAAAGTTCGCACGCGTGAAGTATCATTTTCGTTCACTGCGTCAATGACGTCGAGTATCTGGGGAATGAGCCTTCCACCTTGTGCCTCTATAGCAACAGAAATGACGTAGAACCATTCCTCCTCCTTGGAGCCGGTGAATGTGCAGAGTGAGACGAAATCCTGTGGGTTTATTCGTTGATTTCCAAACGTTGGGCTGAAGGCTATGTTCCAGAGACAGTATGCGGCAAATGTCCCGCATGGCTTGATGGTGAGATATTCGGACACCTTTCTGAGCGGGGCGGCGATTGCTATCGGGAGATTCTATGGCCTCAGGGTTAGTGTCTTGTAGAAGCTCCTGGCTAATTAAAACGATGGCAACATTTAATGCGCTCACCCTTCTAGGTTGGTTGCCACTCCAGATATAACCTTGGGATAAGAAAGAGAGCACAACATATGCTCTACGCCATTCTTCTTCAGTGTCAAGCATTGCTGTTGACAAGACTGGCAAGCTCTCCAGTTTATCCTTTAATCTATCGCTTGCGATAAGCTGCGGTAGATCACAACTAATATCTTCCCAATGGTCATAGTATGGATTTGGAAGTCTTTCCACAGGGGGACGATCGGGTAGAAATCCAGAAACAGAAGACAAGCAGTAATCATCGAGGTTTATGTCACAGAAGCGTGTCATGGTTCGCTGCACCACTGGCAAAGTGTACCGCTTTAAAATTTGAAGTTGACAAGAGCGGGCAGTCGCTGAGGGTCATATGCATAGGTCAACTTTGTCAACCTGTTGATCGAATATGTATTTTTTTAGTAATAGCTATACACAAACTTGAAATGTCTGTTGCTATGTTTTTGCTTCATATTATCCCTTCAGTAACTAACTGGTCAGGAATATTTCGTCACTCCACGCCCAAGTATGCGGGTACATCTCCCAAAGGACGGTTCTAAAGTACTTGCGACCTGAAATATACCTACTGATCCTAGCATGGGGTCTCACTTCGGCGTCACCGATTCTGACCGAACACCCTCAATTTAGCTTCAGCACGCCATTTTTCGAGGTATGATAGATCATGGCCTATACAATTGTCATTCTTATCCATTCTAGAAGTGTCCTGCGGAGCCAAGGATGCAGGGGTGATCATCAATACATATTGTCCAGGTCAATGTTTAATTGATACGTGGTATGACTGTAGATCTCTAGCCCTTTGGAGTGAATGAAAATAGCGGTGGCGGGCCGCAATCTGATCTGCCCTTTTAACTCGTAGCCAATCATTGAAAGCATTCCTCCTTACCCACTAGATGCTATATCACGTATTCCTCATTAGTAGCTGCCGCGTTTCGGCACACAAGCTCCAGACCAATGTCGATCTTGCATGCAATCCCTTCCACTACACGTTTCGAGGTTGCGTCCGGCCATACTCTGCTTACCGGCTATTTACCAGTGGCAGCCAGTCCAGATCCAACGTGGAAGTTCGAGGCGTGTCGGAAGTCAGGTACATCTTCGTTTATGCGCATTTGCGCTGAGGGGTTACATGTTGAATGTCAAGGGCTGTTCTTATAAACATACAACTCTCCAGAAGGTGGCATTTTCAAATTAGCACACCCGGAAGATGAGATTATCCGTGGTCATGAAGTAGAGAATGGTATAGCCGCCTTGCCATGACTAAACGCTAGCGGGTAGGCCATGGGAAGACGGCTATCGAGTATATCGGTGGACCCTATGCTTAGCGCCTTTACTTGTCATATGTATGTTGAAATTGATACCCAATCTGTGGCATTAATTTAATTCCACGCTGGAATTAATTACTATCCCAATTCTGACCCAATGCCGGCGCTTTATGCGCCTGGCTCGGAGATCTTCGGCAACTGTCGATCAATCTGCCTTAGTATCCACCTTCTTCATGCGCGATGTATACATGTCTGCTATATGGATCGCGCTTTTCATCGCATCGTGAGAGTGAAATTTTCAATCTGGGCCATCCGATTCATGCAATAGCCCAAGGACAGGGATCTCAGTCGAATATTATGGAATCTCCTATAGAAATCGATTATCCCACCTGTCCAGCATAAATAGAGCTCATTCCGCAGTATTAAATATATAGATAATTGAATATTTTCTCACATACATGTACATTCCTTGATCCGGAATTGATTCTATCGCCATCATAGCTTCTGCTTGCTTAATCGATTCAACAATGTACGCAGGGCTGAGCACGTGCACTCGCCACCCTCTCACCTATTTTTTTTCCTATCGCCTCACACTAGATACGCGTTGAGCAAGGAGTTCTTATGCATTGCATTGAGTACTTAAGGTGGAGCAAGGTATCATAGCAGAATCAGATATACCGGTCATTCAGCTCAGCCACACCAGCCTGGAGGCAATACCAAGTACATCGCCTAAGGTATCCTTGTGGCTTTTTTATTACATCCAGTACGGAGTAATAGAAATTTCTATCTCTTTCTAAGACAACCGAGTAAGGCGAGGGGGTTCACCGCTATTCTTGTCATTGAAGCGCAGGAACGAACCCTCCTGAGCAATAGTCTGGCTTGAGTTTATATACCGGGTAATCAGGCTTTATATCCTTCTCCCACCCAGCAGCCGTCCAAACCTTGGAATCAACCATCTCACTTTAGAAACACTACCACCTCCGCGTTGCGAGATACCTTCGCGTACACGGTCGAATACCGCACCCCTCTCGTCGCCTTGATTGTCCAAGATGCCACCGGTCAACTTCGGCAGCTACCAGACGAAAATTTACTACGAGGGTACAGCGCTAAACAAACTTCCTGCTATAACCACAAACCCAACTCTCCTCGAACAACATGCCCGGAAAGTTCTCAGTTCGCGTGCATACAGCTATGTTGCAGGCGGGGCCGGGGAGAAGTCAACAATGGAAGCGAACCGGCTGGCATTTCGGCAATGGAAGTTGTAAGTCACCCACCCCTAAAATTCGGAGAGTGAGGGAAATGGATCTAGGAGAACTGAGTATCTGATCCGGATAATACCAGAGTCCCTAGAGTTATGAGACCGGTTCGACTTACCCCACCTTTTTTCCAGACCAATATCGGCCATGTACTTTGCTTCTTGAATTGTAAAAACTAAATTACATTCTTTCCAGATGGACGACCAATGTATCTCGGTCAACCTCTTCGGCCAGGAGTACAAAACTCCGCTGATTGTTGGCCCAGTAGGCGTGCAAGCCCTTTTCCACAACGACAAAGAAACTGGCGTTGCACAAGTCTGTGCGGAACTGGAGGTTCCCTACACTCTAAGCACGGCAAGCAGTAGCTCAATTGAAGACGTCGCTGCAGCAAATCAAGCTGGCCATCGGTGGTTCCAGCTGTACTGGGTGCATGACGAAGAGATCCTGCTCTCACTGCTCAAACGAGCCAAAGAGAATGGGTTTACGGTGTTGGTTGTATCCCTCGACACGTGGACGTTAGGATGGCGGCCTACCGATCTTGACCAGGGATATTTTCCGTTTTATACGGGGATTGGGAATGAGGTGGGTTTTACGGATCCGGTGTTTAGAGCCAAGCATGAAAAGAACGGTGGAAATATGGAGGACATTATTGGTGCGGCAAAGGCATGGGTGGCGGAGTTGGACGATCGACCGCATACGTGGGAGCAGGTGGACTTTTTGAGGAAGCATTGGGAGGGTCCGATTGTGTTGAAAGGGATTCAGCATGTGGATGATGCCCGGAGGGCCTTGGAGACAGGGTGTGAAGGGTTGGTTGTTTCGAACCATGGAGGTTTGTGCCTATCCGATCCCGTTGGATTGTCGTGTGCTGATTGATGATAATTGCCGGTAGGTCGACAGGTTGACGGTGCTATTGGGTCGTTGGATGCGCTTCCGGACATCGTTGATGCCGTCGGTGATAAAATGACGGTGATGTTTGATTCTGGGGTGAGAACGGGGGCGGATGCCATCAAGGCGTTGTGTCTTGGGGCAAAAGCCGTTCTGGTCGGAAGACCTGTTATATATGGCCTCGCTCTCGGTGGTAAAGAGGGTGCAAAGTCAGTGGTTGAGAGTTTACTTGCGGATCTGTGGCAGGGGATGGGGTTGGCCGGTATGAGGACAGTTGCTGATTGCAACCGGGATTGTATGAGGAGGATCAACTATTCTGGTGAGGGCACGAACATGTTATGAGTGTCTACCAACGCTACCTAGGTAGGGTTCCTATCATCTATGCTCCGTACACCTGGGCAGTGATAGGTGATGGGTCGCTTCAAGTTTAACAGCCAGATGCCAATCAATCAATCAAGCAAACCTTGGAAGTTCCCGAGGTCTATTGACCCGTTGCTGTGACTGATGTTACCACTGCCATAGCAGAAGTCCGTATTGTACTATCATGACTAGTTATATATCAGTGACGGAGAAGCAGGGTTTTGTCACATCCATGGATGAGATAGCTCAGGATCGTTCTTTAGACTGGTCTTCCAAGGTGATATACCTAGAGCTAAGCCCTAGAGTTTGGGGAGCTGCCCCATTCTGGTTGCCTGAGGCAATGAAACAATTGACAGCCTTGGTTATCGGTGAATGTAATTTTTGGAGTCAAAAGCTGGAGTCAAAACAATTAACCGGTCCGGTAGCGGGCCCTAGCACACCGCTCCCTATACTAGGTATACGTATGTAGATTGTCCCTTACATATGTAGGTACCCAAGGTTAATGTTATTTACCAATTGAATAGCAATCGGAAGTTGGAGCTGCTAATAGGTATAGCTATCGGATGTAACAATACCTAGTATATCTCCAACTCATTGAGTTTCGTCATAGACAGCTATAGGAGAGAACCGTGCACCTATGGGGAAGAATATGGGGAATACCTGAATAGGCAAGTTTACGCGGATAAAACGAGTATAGAAGGGAGCTACATGCTGTGTGCAGAATGTAGTCGCCATTCTTTCAGATCCAGGGACTGCGCCCAACGATGAATGAAGCTTTTACACGCTCGAGCCAACCGAGCTGAACTAACCACACAAACCACACAAATTCAACAAGATGGGCACAGCTCTGTTCTATCGGAAAATTGCTGGCCAAACAATATGTCCTTCGACGCTGGTACATCCGAATTCATTCTATCAGCATCTCTATCCTACCATCCATTCTATGACATGGCCTCATAAGCGACCAAAGGCGACAACGATGCTCTGGCCAAGAACACACTGAACGCAATTTTAGGGTTTTAAGCAATTTAGGGGTAGAATCTCATTGCCAGAAATGTCAGAGGTCCGATACCATGGGCTACTAAACAGACCTCGTTCGGCCCGACAACATTTCGTTATCCCTCGACCATCACCGCTTGACCATTTAAATAAACGAAAAGTTAAATCTCCTTCCTCGCTGCTAATAAGGCCACCCTTTTGACTAAGGATTTTGCGTCACAGTAACGCCAGTCTGTTTGCTTGCTAACCGATGGGACTATAACGTCTAAACTTCGAGGGCTGGCCTCCCCTGTACTCGCTTTAGCATAGATCCTTAGAAAATGTGTTGTTTCCATTAAAAGACATACTAAGCGTGGAGCCGTTTAACTCTTAGGATTCGTTTCCTGGTAACATTTCTGGCGATGGAGCTGCTGATCGCCGATTGCGGTCCCATTCGAATGCAGGTTCGAGGACATTAGAAGTGAACTTAGTTCGGATAGTGGTCGTGGTAAGGCTAAGAGGATCTTCCTCTAACACACGTTAAAGCTCCTGCGTCAGCTTTTAAGCTCGACGAAAAGTCAGCTGAGCCTTCATCATAAACTAAATTAAAATAAATGAGCGGCTTTTTAGAAGGATGGACCCTGATATAAGAAAGATGCGCGTATTTAATCCAGAATATGTAGGTGTACAGACCATCCTGTTTAAACCGCCATAATGATATGGCAGATCGTATGTACATCATAACCGTCGGTTAAACGAGAATTACTCTGGTCGAGCTGGTAAATAAAAGCTAATATAAGTCAAAGTAAAATACACGCACAATCGTTAAGCCACAGCTTAGCTGCTCTTTTCTGCGGCCTTTGCGCTACTAATTTCCGAGTAACTTCTAGAATCTCCACCGTTAATCCCTCTGTATTTCTATTTACTTTAATAACACGTCCAGCATTACCTTCGTCGACTCCGGCTCTTAGTCGGGTTTCCTGGAGCCACGCTCCTTTAATAAGTAATCTATAACACCTCCCATCATCTGGCTGAGATTGAAAAAAAATATCCGCTAGCTTAGATACGTGATCTCTTTCCTCGTTTATAACTTTCAGAGTCGTCTGTGCAGCCTCGAGGATTTACTCGAGCTTACACTGGGCTCTTTCCGCCCGGACTGCTCGAATGTCGAGTCTTGCGAGGATACGAAGATAATCCTATGCTGGGGTTAGACGGCGCTTTAGGGGAATTTTGTGAACCTACCGAGGAATCCATTTCATAGGAAAGGCGACAGGGGAGGTTTGATGTTCTCAGCGGTAAGCAGCAGGGAGCTTAGAGAAAAGCAGTCGGAACTTCTCTGTGTAACAAGGAGTCAGAGAAGATGTTAAACTGATATTTATAGCTCTATGCCCACTACCGGCCGTTAAGTAAAGCGTTCTCGAGCATTCTCGAGCATTCTCGTGCCCCTAATGACCTTCACTTTCTGCGGTTAAGCGGTCTGTTTGAGAGCTGTCGTGACCTCATAAGGTTGCGAATGGATGAAATCGCATCCACACCTGGCCCTTCGTAACGACGCAATCTTTTAAAATCTGCCACTATATCCGTGAGACTGACCACCTAGGTCACGTTGTGTATGAAGAATATCACCATGGTGTAGTTCTGGTTACTTCTAACCAGGACTCCACACCAGCTCCTGGGTATGTTTATCGCATATTGCGACATCCCTCCGCATTAATCTTCGGCATCGAATTAGGACTAGACTGCGACATCGCCCGTCCACAGTGGGTGGTGGGCTATTTGGATTTTCGAGTGCCCGTCCATAACGCCCACGGCCCACGGGCATGCCCACTATGCCCACCATTGCATAAAGTCACCTAAAATGGACGTATAACTCGCTGACTGCGCATAATAGATAACTGTTATTTACGCCTGGTTTGCTAACTCTATGGAAAATCGGGGTTTTAATCTATAACATCCATAAATTTTACTGAAATATCTGAGTATATAAGAAACTAATATATATATGATACGACTTAGAATAAATCTTTGATCGAAATACATCATGTTATGTGGTATTTTTATTAACTTATCAAATCATACTGTAACAGTTTAAAGATATATATTCAAGTCAGTGGTATATGCCTGCTATTTTCTATAAGTAAAATACTACTTATGGATTCTGCTTTGTCTCTCGCTCCGGTATATTTCTTATAGTTAGATCGAAAGAGAATTAGTATAATCCTTATTTTATAAGCTTATATCACTAAATTCTGTCAATTATATCACTAAAAGACTTATGTTATTATTCTAGGAGTTTTAAATCCTTCGATTATAACTCGAGATGGGCGTTTAGGCATCGTGGGCACGCCCATGGACAAAGACACTTATAGCCAATCAGCTTATAACGAAGAGTGGGTCTATACTTAATTTACGATCTATCAGATCTATATAAAGCACTCCCTTTACTAGTAACCCCCGTTTCACACGGTCGTAAGTTACCTATTATAAGTTCAGATCACTCAGTCTTCCTTAGTCGTTACATTATCCCTTACATCTAGACCTTGCCAACTCCCACGGGACCAAAATCTTTTTGGTCCCATTTCCTGGTTCCATCACTGTAACGGATAAACATCTTATAACATGGAGACGGAGTCACCTGATCGCACCCGCATCGATCACGTATCAGGAATGAACTGCCAAGGAATAGTCACATGGCTCCCACGTGAGCATGGTGGCACACATAGTCCAGGATTCCCCTGGATCCCCTCTTCTTTTGGCAAGAGTTAGTCTTGGCACACAGAGACGAGACAATACATTCTCGTTTCCTCTCCAAGTCATTGTAACTTACCCGGTTGACAGGCCTTACACCTGGTAATCGTAAACCTTTACATTATTACCTTATTATTACTAGGATCTATATTATTTTTAGAGTTTATTAACTCTATTTTAGGACTTTTATAGGGATTCATGTTTTTAGATGGTTTTTCTAAAAACTTATTTTCACATATAGTGATATCTCTTAACCATAGGCATTTTTGCCTTTTATAGTCCCATAATTTATAGTGGTTATAATCACTATAACCTATAACTATTGATTCTTCCTTTCTAGGAGATAGCTTAGTTATATATTTATTCATATGATAATAGGCTAAAGGGCCCCAGACCTTAATATTTTCAATATTAGGTTTTATCATATTTAACACTTCAAAAGGTGTTTTATACCCTAGAGCTTTATGTGGAGTCCTATTATAAACTGCCAAGTCTTTTTTTCTAGACCCGCTCAGCTGAAACCCGTATCCGCTCCACCATAATTTTCGTCATAGTAAGACGCATGATTCAGGTGCACTGCGCATATTTAATGTGCATAATCACGCGCTTGGAATGCGCCATTCACCCTTAGAAGTGGGAGGAAGCCGGGAGTGGGCGATTTAAGCCACTTCACCTGAATGAGCGGTGACCTCGGGAGACTCACCGACATAATCAGACCTATTCTGGTGGGGGTAGGGTGTCTGTAGATGTATGGTCTACTGAGTCACCAACCAAGAACATATTTTGCGTTTTTGTTAAGCATTTACGTCGCTCAACCCCCCCCGGTGTGATTGCTAAACTACGGCCAGTGCTGTCAATCAAGCATTACTTGCGGTCTTGCAACATGCCAAATGCGGAAGCTATGGAAGCGGAGGCTTGTGTCTTTCCTGTTAATAACGGTGAGATAGTTCAGGATGGGGAACTGTTCCAGAAACTGTCAATAAGATGCCTCGCGCTCCGGACAGGTTTCGATGATACCAGTCAAGATGGCCTATTCTCTGTCCTTATTCTAGCATGGGCTCTGGTGCTGCGCAGGTTCACAGACATGGACAATGTGCGTTTCGTTGTTCACAATGTCCCGACAGACAATATCGCGGAAAGGAGTCCCCAAATTTGTGAAGCACCTATCTACCCCGATGTCAGCATTGGAAGTTTTCTCGAGAAGAAGAGTTACACGATGAAGCAGTGGCAGCTGAACTTCGCTTCCAAATTGAATACTGCTGTTGTCTTTCGGGATGAAGTGAGAAAATTCGAAGGGGACATTCTCCCTTTGATCTCTAAAGATCAGGTAAGTATAAATCCCGCCATTGGAGAACCAATGAAGGCCTGACTTATGTAAATAGCATTACGATCTTGTGGCTGTGGCCCAAGCGAGCGGGAATCTTCCTGAGATCGATCTCTACTACCGAGCGTCAGTCATACCCAAAGCGCGAGCGGAACGTCTAGCGGGGAATTTGACACGGGCAATCAAGTGCCTGGCAGATAACCCAGAGCAGAAAGTTCGCGATATGAATTTATGTGGACCTGAAGATTATCAACAAATCGCCAAATGGAACAGTACGCCAAAGTCTGACGCAGCACATGAGTTTATTGACGACATCATATTTCAACATGCAGTCAGCAGGCCTACGGCAATAGCGGTACACTCCTGGGACGGTGAATTGACATATGCCGAGTTGAATGACTTGTCCTCAAGACTTGTGGCTCATTTGCAGTCACTCGGTGTCGAGCCAGGAGACCTGGTACCGCTGTGCATGGAAAAGTCCCTCTGGGCTATTGTCTCTGTTCTAGCCGTGATCAAATCAGGGGCAGTTTTTGTTCCACTTGAAGCCTCTCAGCCAGTGAAACGGCTCGAAGGAATCATTTCTCAGTTGAAGGGCGGGGTCATTATAGCCTCACCTCAACACGTGGCAGCGTTATCAAACACGCGGAAAAGGGTATTGGCTGTAAGCAGAGCGGATATGGAGAGGCTGCACTGCTTTGGTTATGCCACCACCAACCGAGAACAGACAAACATGGCCTATATCCTTTACACTTCCGGAAGTACAGGAGCTCCAAAAGGGTGTGTAATGGAGCATCGAGGATTGACGGGATTTGCGAGGCACGCTGAGCCGCTGCAAGTCAAGAGTAACAGCCGTGTGTTGCACTTTGCTTCGTACGGGGTGACTGCCTCTCTTGTGGAGATATTTTGCTCTCTTGCGGCAGGTGCAACTCTCTGTATTCCCTCCGATCATGAGCGAATGAACGACCTCCAGGGTGCCATGAGACGCATGGGTGTTACGTGGACCTTAATGACGCCTTCGACGTTGAGGTCACTTGATACCTCGGCACTGAGCACCTTGCAAACTATACTTATCGGAGCGGAACCCATTCCAAAGAACGCCTACGAGGTCTTTCAGGGTAGTTTTCTGTTGCTAATCGGGTACGGAATGACGGAATGGGGTGGTATCTTGATGGCCCAGGGCGAAGGAACGAGAGACACGAAAAACATTGGCAAGGCATTTCTGGGAAAGACTTGGCTCGTCGAGCCTCATGATCACCACCGACTCGCTCCGGTTGGTGCAGTGGCTGAGCTGGTAATCGAAGGCCCCTATCTAAGTCGTGGCTACTTGGGTGACCACGACAAAACATCGGAGGCCTTCATTGTGAACCCGTCATGGCTCACACACTTTGACATGGAGCCCAGTTTTGAAAGAAGATTTTACAAGACAGGAGATCTTGTCCAATACGCCGATGATGGCACCCTCCGGTACATCAGCCGAAAGGACAATCAAGTCAAGTTGCGTGGCTACCGCATTGAACTAGGAGAGGTTGACCATCATCTCCGGCAATGCTGGGATTGCACTGAGGATGTTATCCTTACCGACGTGGTTACGCCAGAAGACAGCTCTGTAATGCCAACATTGATAGCATTCGTCGGAGGCAAAGAGGCGCAATTGGCTAAAAAGCCCGCGACAGCTATATCTCCTCTATTCATGATTCCGGACGAGCAATTTCGAACGAGGGTGTCAGTGGCAGATTCCAAACTGCGGACGGCTCTACCGTCTTATATGCTACCAACCATCTATATTCCTCTTTTGCATGTACCGATGACATTTTCAAGGAAGGTCGATCGGATGGGTTTGAGGAGACAGGCATCCATGCTAGACCAGGATCAGCTTCTGTTGTATAGGGCTGGAAAGCGGAACGGCATGGATGAGAAGGCCAAGCCGAGATCTGATGCCGAAAAGGCGCTTCATCGTATGTTTGCCCTGCTACTCAACCTTGATGAAGCGAAAATTGGAGTCAACGACAGTTTCTACGACCTTGGTGGGAACTCTATTGGGTCAATGCAGCTTGTATCTATGTGCCGTGCGGAAAACATCCCATTGACTGTGGAGGATCTATTTGAGAAGGAAACTATAGCGGAGCTTGCTGCCACTGCCAATTAAAATAGATGTGGATAGAGTTTTATGAGCCAACTACATGAGTAGGAAGATGATGCCAGTTATCTCAATTTACTATCGCATAAACAGTACTTAGTATTTGACCCCTATAGAGCATTCCCTGGAATATTTGGCGGTAGGTTGGTAGTGGGAGGAGAGCTTATAATATGGCGAGGAATAGAGTCGGATAGGGAAATCAGACTAGCTAATGGAAGACGGAGAAATGAATACAGAGGGCAGGACATCAGTGGAGACGAGGGAAGGCGAAAGATTGTGGTGGTGAAAGCAGAAAGGGAAAGGTCACGCCAAATGAACATGGTTCTCAGGTGGGAATGTGAAAAACAGAGCTATCTGTATTGTCTAGATGTATACATAACAGTAACTTGGCAAGGACGCACCTACTAACCATAGCTGGTAAGAGCCATATCCGCTTGCATATTTGGCATTGACACATTATATTCTTCCAGGCTCATGCATGAACGCTGCCCGGGTGGAATTGCTGATCCTCCTTTTCCAAAACCATATGCAGTGAAACCATATGCAGTGATATGCAGTGAGTGAAACAACTGTGGAATGGAGCGAGTTATCCTTGCCATGGGCCTGCAGCAGTGAGTTGGCATTAGTGGAGCAGATTGACTAGCGCAATCAATCTGTCTAGACCTTGAGCCTTTTGGGTAGGTATACTTCAATATCCCATGTGCACCCTCATCGGTGACACGAGCTACATAGCTCCTTACATGCCGAGGAGAGGTTGCAATGTGCACACTTGCGGTGTGCACACCGCAAGTGTGCACTCCACGTAAGCCAGCATTGGACAGTAGACTAAGAGTGTTGAAAGAAACCTGCAGGCTTTAAAGTAGCATAAGCGTCCAGCTGAAGCTATCCACGAGGAACCAGAGGGTGCTGTCCGTCCTTGCCAAAGCGCACCAACTTGGAAGCCCTTCTCATCTGTTCCAAAGTCATCAAACAAAATATAAGTTCACTACAAACTGCAACCCCACCATACAGAGATCAAAACATTTCAGCATGGGAGAAACAAATTCCCAGGCTGAAGCCTTCGAACGGAAGCACAAGATGTCTCCCGTACAGTCTCGACTCTGGTTCGCAGAACAATACATGAGCGACCCCACGCAGTCCAACATGGCAGTGTCCTACAAAACGAGAGGCAATTTTCAGGCCCCGCAATTCAGAATGGCACTTGAGCGAGTCCTTGCTCGGCATAAGTCACTTCAGACTGCCTACTTCATGGACCGGGATACCGGGCAATTGGTGCAGGCCGTGCGTTGTGAGGCGTTGCCGTATTTCGAATACTTCGACGAAGCTGACGAGGCTTCCTGTGTCAACAAACTCGAGGAAGCAAAAAAGAAGATATGGCAACTAGATAATGGGGAGGTTTTACGGGTTGCGGTTTTCAACATGGGCAATGGGGACTACAGAATAATCTTTTATTTCCACCACCTGGCCATCGACGCGTATAGCTGGTCAGTCTTTTTGAAGGATCTGAACTTGGCCTACCAAGGAAAGGAGTTCCCGCCTATGCCTCCGTCATATACGGAATACTCAGAGGCGCAGAATCGGGCCATTGAGAAAGGAGACTTTGATCGACAATTCGAGTATTGGAGACAGAACCTGACACCGCTGCCCGAGGTGACTCCGTTACTTCCCTTCGCACGAGTGAAAGCTCGAGCTGCAACAAAAGACTTTCGGAGCCATACAACTACAACGATGATCAATCCGAGATGTACGGAGCAGGTGAAAGCCGTCTCCCGAAGCTTACGAGGATCTCCGTTTCATTTCCATCTGTCTGTGATTCACATCTTGCTGAGTCGTTTGTTGGGTACCCAGGAGGTGTGCATTGGCACGACCGATGCTGGGAGATCTGATTTCCACTTTATGAATACCGTAGGGCTCTTCGTGAATACCCTGCCTCTTCGTTTGCGAGTTGAAGAGGGAGACGACTTCAGTGCTTTATTCCGACGAACTGCACGCACTGCAATCTCGGCATTGAGCAATTCGGCAGTGCCATTTGGACTCATTACAGATCGGCTCAATGTCCCTCGCTCCTCAGAAAACACACCAATATTTCAAATCATGGTAAATTACCGTGCGGGCGAGGTGATGCATCTGCCAATGGGCGATGGTTCTTTGGAGTATGTGGAGGCCGTCCAGGCGAGGTCTCCATACGATATGACCATAAACATCACACCCTCAGTTACAGGGAATTGGATGCTTGAGGTTGTTTGCCGCAACTATATCTATAGTCCGGAAAGCGCAGAGAAGTTTACAGACATGTATTCTCATCTTCTGCAACAAATTTGTGACGATCAGTCTCTCTCCGTTGGGAATTACTCTTTGTTTTCTACAACACTCATCGACGATGCTCTTTGTCTCGGGGGAGGTGAGACTTTGGATAATGACTGGCCGGAGACACTGGTTGAGCGGTTTGACAACGTCGCGAGAGAACATGCAGACGCCGTTGCGGTTACTGATGCTTCAGGACCCCATAGCTATGCAGACCTGGCATCGTTGGTAAATGGAATAGCCGGTACACTGCTCAAAATGGGCGTTGAGTTTGAAACACCAGTTGCAGTCCTTTGTGAGCCGTCCCTACGAGCGATCGCTGCCATGCTCGCCGTTCTTCGAGTCGGGGCCGTGTATGTGCCAGTGGATATTAGTCTTCCGGCGGAGCGTCAAGCATCAATCCTAGCGGATTGTAAACCGGCAGTGCTCGTTTGCCAAACTACAACCATGGAAATTACAAAGAGCTTCACTGGAGTTGGCGTCTACCTCGACGTCGACAGCATTGACTCATCCCAGTCTATAGCACCTGCACCCAACCGAGGAACATCCACCTCACTTGCCTTCATTCTCTACAGCAGTGGCTCCACCGGAAAGCCAAAAGGAATCCTGCTCGCCCAGGGCATGTTCAGAAACTGGATCCCCGCCCAAGCAAGAACATTCAAATGCCGACCCGAGACAGTACTGCAGCAGAGCTCACTCGGTTTCGACATGTCCATCGCCCAGATGTTCTTGGCTCTTGGATTTGGCGGAAACTTGGTGATAGTACCTCGAAACCTCCGCTTCGACCCGATTGGCATTTCACGGTTAATGGTCGCAGAACGAGTAACCGTGACCTTCGGCACACCCGCAGAATACACCATGCTTCTCCGCTATGGGACTGATTACATGACCTTACTCCGGTCGTGGAAACATGTCTATGTCGGTGGTGAACTTGTGACTGACCACCTGATCAAGGAGTTTCATGAACGTTTGGGTCATTACTGCCCCAAGATTACCATTGCCTACGGCCCCACCGAGGCTGGAGGTGTCGTATGCACTCGACCGCTGTCTGGAAAAGAGGACAGTATCATGGAAGGGAATGTGGGCAAGCCTTTTCCAAACACAGCCCTGTACATTATAGACGATGAGCTGAATCTGCTTCCTCCGGGTTTTCCTGGGGAAGTTTGTGTCGGCGGTGGGGTGGTGGGATTGGGATACCTGGATCTCTCGATGGCCGAAGGGAAGTTCATCGACAACCCATTTTCTTCTGCAGAGTATCGAGCTCGCGGGTGGACGAGGCTATACCGGACCGGAGATCAAGGCAGGTTATTGGAAGACGGATCACTGTTCTTCATGTCCCGACTGGCCAGTGAAACAGTGATCAAACTTCGAGGAGTGCGCGTGGATCTGGAAGAAGTGTCCCACTTTGTTTTGAAAGTAGCTGGCGGTCTGCTCTCACAAGCAATTGTCTCTGCAAGAGGACAGAGTGAATCCCAATTTCTCGTCGCGCATGTCGTTCTAGCGCCGGGTATGGCTCTCAGTGATGTTGAATTTGGGGATATAGCGGCCAATCTTCCCCTTCCTCACTCAATGCGTCCGAGTATTATTGTGCCACTTGATACAATACCTATGACGCCGAATGGAAAAGTGGATAGGAAGAAGCTCGCTGCGCTTCCATTGCCCGAGATAAACGCTGCGGCCAAAGCCGATCAGCCTTTCACGCTCGCAGAAGCCGAACTCAAGATGCACTGGGAGGAAGTCTTACATGGGATGGCTCCTGCAGTGTCGATTAACCCCAAGTCCGATTTCTTTGCTGTCGGCGGGACATCGGTCCTTCTCGCCAAGTTACAAGGTACGATCCGGCAATACGCGGACATCACCATCCCGCTAGCGGAGCTGTTCAAGGCTAGCACTTTAGACAAGATGGCTGCTCTGCTGAGCTCGATGAAGTCCGATATCAATGACGACACGATCAACTGGGACGAAGAAACAAAAGTCCCGGACAGTTTTACTCGATACTCTCGCATCCAGCCGAGCGTCTGCCGCCCACCGATCCCTCAAGAAGTCCTCCTGACCGGCGCCACAAGCTTCATGGGCAAAGCCATTCTCAAGTCCCTTCTTGACTCCCGCACAATAACCAAGGTCCATTGCATCGCCGTTCCATCGGAACAATCCTCCGAGTTGCCCTCGTCTGACCGAGTCACCGTCTATCACGGTCACCTAACGGATCCTCTCCTCGGCATCCCAAAAGAAACCTTCACGGCCCTCCACTCAACAGTAGACTTGATCATCCACGCTGGCACGTTCGGCAACTGCATGAACCGGTATTCTTCTCTCCGAGTGCCCAACTTCCATTCGACAATCCTTCTTGCGGAATTGGCCGCCCGCGCTCACATACCGCTGCACTATATCTCCTCCAACAGGGTGACACTTTTCTCCGGGAAGGCGAGCTATCAACCGATCTCGCTATCTGCTTACCCACCGCCAAACGATGGGTCCGAGGGGTTTGTCGCGGCTAAATGGGCCAGCGAGAAATTCCTTGAATCCCTATCAAAGAAGATCGGAGTAAACGTGTGTATTCATCGGCCATGCTACGTGATTGGCGAGGACGCACCAAGCTCAGATACAGTGAACGCTGTATTGCGGTATTCAAGGGAGCTTGGAGCCGTCCCAGCGTTGGAGAAAATGGATGGGTATTTTGATTTCCGACAGGTTGAAGCAGTGGCAGATGAGATAGTGCAAACAGTCCTTGCTTCGCACTTTGGCCAGACGTTGAGATATGTACACCATTCGAGTGGGGTGAAGGTTCCGATAGAGGAATTGAGCGCTCATCTGGTGAGATTATATGGCGGGAAGTATGAGAGAGTCAGTACGCTAGAGTGGATCAGACGTGCTATGGAGGCAGGCATGGAGGTGATTGTAGGCAAGTTCATGGAGGCTGTTATTGAGACCGGGGAGGCTAGGTCGTTTCCGTTCTTAGAGGTATAGATGCGTGGGTTCTGATCGCTACATGATGTTGTTAGGGATCCCTAGTCCCCATACCTCCAGGACTAGATAGCTTCTCTCTCTCTCTCTCTCTCTCTCTCTCTCTCTCTCTTTTCTTTTCTTTTCCCCAGTTTCGATAGACAATATATTTTGCATTGCATTGTTTTCTCTCCCGGGATTCCCATCAGATGTCATATAATTGTGACTAAGTACTCACCTGTTAACAAACCCACATCTATTAACAAAAATATCATTATTTCAATTTCAAACCTATTTTTCAGCCACCATCCCATCTGGATCTATATATCTAAATAGCTCACTATTAGCTTCAAGATAATCTCTACCCCTGATGCTTCTTCTTTTTCTTTGAGAGCCTGATTGGCGCGGTGCCAATAGTCTCGAATTCTTGCATTTCCAGCCTCACGCCGAATATCCAGCTTAGATTCCTTCGTACAACGCCGATGAACCTTCGAATTGCCTGCAATTGACTACAAAGGACTCTTAGGAGCACCCTTTACAATGCGGATAGGAATCTTGTGGCTTTGCATCCCTTTTTATCGTCTGTTTTGCAAGGGCTAGGTCTTGAATAGCCTGCTTACCGCCATGAATTGCACGGTTTATATGTCTTTGAAGCTTCGGAAGGTCTAATTCATCGTCTTCGAATATAGTTTGAATCTTATCCTTAACTTTAGAGAATCTTTGATCTGAATTAGGCGGCGAATTCGTTACTGAACTAGGAAATTCACGGTTTAGTCATGGCGTATGACCATATATTTCAAGGACTGGTTCATCTTCCCAGCCTGGATCAATTTAATCGCACACAATATACAAGTCATAAGGCCAAAGACCGGTGTCTTTGAATGATCATTTAATCGTTTGCGATTTAAATGTGTCTTTGTGGACTGTTTTGATAATTTGAAGAAAATGCCGTTTATCATCAACATCTCCACCCTATCGTACAATCTCATTATTCTTTCTTCGGAATTTTTATTTAAGGACTGAGAATAGCTTGCCATCGAGAGGCTGGCATCGATGTGTCATTTTTAGTATAAACCACCAAGGTCTAATATTGAAGCTTTGGCAGTGGTTATCCATAACCAAAACCCTAGGTCTGCCTTTAGTAACTCGCTTTTTAGTGGTATAATGGAAGCCCAATAGCCATTGAATCGCAGTTATATCGTCGGTCTAGCCTTTAGCAGTTAGTTTAATAACCCTATAGTTAGTAGGATCATTATCGCCGTTAAACCAGTCTTCCATTTATTCAGAACCACGCATTAGAAACCATGGATGCATAACCCAGCCATCGGCCGAAATACACTCAATTCCAGTGATATTCTGGCCTATTCCACTAGTCGTAATAGTCTCATATTTACGGGTAGAAGCGACGTTTTCCTTCGTTCCAATACCTAGCTGGAAGCCAGTCTCATCCCAGATATATAGTTCGTTGGCCTGAATTTTGTTCTTTTTAAGGAATTAGCCATAGACCTCATACCAGTGAACTAATTCACCGTGTAATTCAGCTTCAATCCTCGCTTTTTCCACCGGCTTTTGTGTACGAAGGCCGATATAGGGCGGTAGGCGTCGAATGAATTGATACCCATACATTTTGCCAACCTGCCGGTCGGAACCACAATGTCGTAAAATACGATTTGCAGCACCCTCAATATCACTAGCATTTGGTGGTGTATATACTGAATTAAGGTGCTCAATCCAGCGAATAAGAGAGGCTTCTTGTGAGGAATTTAGGGCTTTTTTGGCGGCTGCACGGCCTTTTCCATTTGTCCTGCCTTCCTTTCGGTACCGAAGCTTCCACTTCGAGACGCCAAAATGAGAGGCTGCGGCCTGAACACTGGTAAATTCACCTGATTTATAGGCTTCGAGGGCATTTGAGAGAAGGATCTCTTCTTTTTCGGATGAAATCGGCATAGTTTTGGTGGTGAAAAATAGGTTTGAAATTGAAATAATGATATTTTTGTTAATAGGTGTGGGTTTGTTAACAGGTGTGGGCTCACCTACCCCCTGGAGGGAGGTGAGTGCTTAGTGACAATTGCGGGCTTTCATTCCGGACCCACTTCCCACCGATGGGCCCGAAGGTAGGGCTCAAAACCCAGCCCATTTGGTGGATTGGGCCTGGTGGGCTATTGAGAGGTCCACTTCTGGATACATCATCCTGGAAGAATGGTCGACGCGAACTACATAAGCAGGTACCCAGTGGTAGTAGCTCTTACCGCACGACGCACGTCTGCAAGGGATGGAAGTCTTCGTACCTTTACTCCGTGGCAGTCCCTAAACCCTCTTTGATAAATCCTCTATTCTTCTTCTCGGGCCAACCCAGAGTCCAATAACGACATCATCATGAACCTCCGCACCATCCTCACCGCCCTGTCGCTGGACGCGCTCGTCGCCTCTGCTGCCGACGCTCCAGCCACGGCTACGGCTCTAGAAAACACTCTGCATATAATGATGGATTTATCCTCGTTAACAGCGAGCGCTGCAATTGATATCTTTCCTTCAACAGCGGATCGCTTCTTACCGGTGAGTTCACCTCCGACTCCTCATGGGATTTACTCCGGAAGACTAACTGTATATCTAGGATGTCATCGGTGGATTTGAGTTAATCACGACGGCCGCGGAGAACGAGTTTGTGGTACTTGGGCACTCGCAGGAAGCGGTCGCAGGAGCGATGGATGCAAGTATGCAAACGGAGATCTGTGAGATGTTTCGCGATGTAGGTTTTTTTTCCCTTTTTTTTTCTTTCTTTCTTTTTGTTTCCCCCCTTTGTTTAACATTGAAACTTCATAGTTCGCCGACGTCCATCGAATTCTCATGGAGATCATAATTGGAAAGAATGACACTCTCACCATGATCTTGTCGAATGCTACTGCCACACCCCCAGACGTCCTACCAAAGCTTGAAGACCGTGTGAATGGATGCAGCAAGGCCATTACGTCCTTGACTCAGTTGACTCTGCCCCTAGTTCCGATCTGCGCGGGTGGTATTGTGAGTGATCAAGGACGGTATAATGAGACTACCGAGGAATTAAAGTCGGTTCTCCATTAGACTTAGAGTAGTTAGAATCGACTTGTGAGTATGAGACACAAGAAAGGTGATTATTTTTTTGGTTTTTCTTTACTAGCACCCAAAAAGGCAAGCTGCCTTAAGCAGTCCAAAGTTTTGATCTACATACCGGGAGAAGCCAGCGGCCCGCAAATGTGAACCGGGCTATTCAAGGGCCGAGGGGTTAGGGGTTGGTAAATTATGCTATGTAACTACAACATACATATGTACATATACATGATCTACCTCCTTGCCTGGTCACACCTTATCATGCAAGGGCTGGAGAAGGACTCCACCTCTCACGCGCGCTTCCCCTAGTTTCTTTGTCTTCTTCTTGGACCCAGCATCGTGGGTTCTTTTCTCTCTTTGCCTTCCATATTCATATATACCATTCAGAAATGGGCACAGTGAAGGAGGAAGTTGCCGCCCAAGAAGCGACAATGCGGGCAGAGCCTCCAATGGTAGACGACGAGTCTGAATCGTACTCCGACGGTGGACTGCAAGCGTGGCTGGTGGTCTTAGGGTCGTGGTGCGCTGCCCTCCCTTCGTTCGGCCTAATGAATACCACTGGTGTTTTCGCGGATTGGATTGCAACGCATCAGCTGCACGAGTCCTCCCGCGGCGCCGTGTCGTGGATTTTCAGCGTTCATGTTTTCTTCCTATTGATCGGTGGTATGCAGGTTGGTACGTTATCTTTTAACCCAAACATTGAATGTACGAGTAACTGATCGCGAGGAGGGCCTATATTTGATCGTTATGGGCCGAAGCAGCTCCTTGTCCTAGGCACCATTGGCCTCACAACCGCTGTGATGTCCTTCAGCGTCTCGAAGGGTAAGTCCACAATGCTTCTGGGTATTTCTTCCGTGGGATTAAGGATCTAAATAGAATACTACCAATTCATGCTCAGCTTCGGCGTTCTCGGTGGCATCTCTGCATCCATGATCTTCACCCCCAGTGTCTCCGTCATAACTCACTGGTTTCACAAACGCCGCGCTCTCGCAACAGGCATCATCGCCACGGCCGGAAGTATCGGTGGGATCATCTTCCCGCAGATCTTCAACGCTCTCGCCCCGAAAGTCGGGTTTGGCTGGGCAATTCGCACTCTCGGCTTCATCACTCTAGTCTTCTGCAGCACCGGAGCTCTCCTCCAGAAATCACGCCTAGAGCCCAAAAAGGGGACTCGGAAGACTGTCGACTTCCGAGTTCTCCGCGAGATCCCGTTTACCCTGACCACCGCAGCGATCGTTTTTGCCGACATTGGTGCGCTCATCCCGGTCACCTACCTCACCTCGTACGCACGCGCAAACTCGATGGGAATCGAGCAAGCCTACAGTCTGATGTCCATTCTGAACGCAGCCTCCGTCCTCGGCCGGTTGATGCCCGCCTATGCAGCCGACCGATACGGTCGCTTCAACGCCATGGTCGTGACGACCGCCATCTCAGCAATCTTGACCATTTCGCTCTGGCTGAAGAGTGGATCCAACCATGCAGCCATCATTAGTTATACTGCACTCTTCGGGTTCTGGAGCGGCTCGGCAATAGGCCTGAGTCCCGTCTGTGTCGCACAGATTTCCAAAACAGTGGACTTTGGGAAGCGGTATGGTACCGCTTATGCTTTTGTCAGCGTGGGAGTGCTTGTGTCGTTGCCAATTGCAGGACAGATTCTCAAGGCGCAGACGCATGAGGGCAAGGAAGAATATTGGGGATTGATCGTGTTTTGCGGGGTGGCCTATGGGCTTTCGGCGGCCTTCTTTGCGTTGGCGAGAGGTTCCCAGACCGGATGGAAGGTCAAAAGGGTCTTTTAAAATGGGATTTTGCATGGCAAAGAGTGATTGGTTGCTTGATCGTGCATTAGAATTAGATGGTATTAGTTATAGAGTTACGTGCCTGCTTTTGAAGCATACATAGTGCTGGCCATTGCACAAATGTTAAACCCTGCAAATTATCAAACGATACGAGATAAATAGTATCAAAGATTCTATCAGGTTCAAGGCACAGAAAACCAAATTGATCCTAAGATGCTACTTATAATCAGTACCCACAAATTCGTATATTGTAGATCAGTGGATTCAGCATCTATAAATAGAACGTATTCGTATGATTGGCCATCTTCTTGGCAATAATTATCGAGCTGGTTGTTGTCCCACGTGGATAAGTCAATAGGAATCGTCTCACGTGTCGCCCCCTGATCGGCAGAGGTGTCTATGCCGTAGGCATATTAAACCGGGTCCCAAGCATGTATTTAAAGAGCTTTGTTTCCAGGTTTTACCTAGATTAGACAAATGCACGGGAAAGGTTTCAAAGGTCAGGCATTATCCGGTACATATGTAGATGATGCTCATGGTAAGGATATTAAGTAGGTGATCGGTATGAACAACTATGAACAGCCAGAATACAACACCTATGGAAGATAGTCACTGTCAAAGTGTCTGCTGGACAGAGATTGACAGATAGGAAAGAAAAGTAAAAACATGGAAAGTATTCGACATTTGATTGTAACTTGGAATCACTTGGCGCAAGTCTCAGTTCCCCTTCCAGGGACCTGGTCGCAGCATACGATCCTCTTTCCCGTAAACACTAACATCCTTGACAATGGCAATGAATTTCCGATGGTTCTCCTTGGATTCACCAATGCGAGGACGGAACACCTTCAAGAGATCGCTGCTGAGGATGCCAGATGCTGGGATGGCTGCATGGATTTCGCCGGCCGTCGGGAAGGTTTGGTTTCCAGAGACTGGCGTCGACATACGATGGCCTACAGATGGTTAGTTTATATCTAATATCAAGAATATATTTGGACCGGAACTCACCTCTGGGACCGTCGGGGCTGTTGGCACGGCTTCCGGAGAGTCGAGGTAAAGGACTTGCGGCGCGAGACCCTTGTGGAGTGCCACCGCGAGAAGCCACAGTAGAGGGGTTGAGTTTCAGTTTCTTGATCTTGCCACCCTCGGTCATTTCAGCTCCAGATCCGACACCAGTGTCGACATCACTGCCTGATCCAGGACCACCAGGAATGTTTCGCACGCGTTTCTTGCCCTGGGTAAATCAGTATGTATTGGCCAAAGGGGAATGATTGTGCATACCTGCAAAGCGGATGGAGAGATCGGACGCGACGGGGGTTGGGACGTAGGGAGATGCATGTTTTTGGCCTTCTTTCGAGACGTATCGGTGCCGCTCGCATCGGAGGCGTATGGTGATCCAAGCCTTTTCCGGGACGGTTTCTTCAAAGCGTCTGTATGCTTGGGTCGACCGGAGGGAGTATTTGTTCCCTTGGAGGAGGTCGCTTCTTTCTGGGCCTTTTCTTCTTCTGCCTTCTTCCGTTCCTCCTCCTTGGCCCGCTCGGTTTCGCTGTCATCGGAGCTCTGTCTATGTTGGTTTGGGGTTTGCTATCGAAGATAGGTGAAAACTTACCTCCTCATCCGTGTACGGATTGACATCCGAACCGCTGCTGTAATCAAAGTTCCGTTCTCTCTTCTTCAGAGCCTTGCGCACACCTTTGCCCAACACACGCCGGGCCTCTCGCTCACGTTTCTCTCGCATTTCTTCGGCGTCATACTCTTTCTCGTCCTTGAGATTGAACACATTCGCCTTGAGCTGGTCCTCTTTGATTCTCTTCTCGGCATCCTTCGCATCTTCATCCTCATTGAAGAGATCATCATGCTCTTCGTCGTCGGCAAATCGATCCTCTTCGAAATCCATTTCACCAGTCTCCAATCCTGCGCCCTTGGTATCCGTGCCCTGTTTTCCGGCGTAGACTTTGCGCTGCTTAGCGTATGTTTCCAATTCCTTTTCTTGCTCCAACTGCTGCTGCTTTTCCATGAACCATCGAGGGTCTTTCACTCTCTTGGCCATGAATTTCTCTGCTTCATCAATAGTCAAAGCCTTGAAGTTACTCTTAGCGTTGAACTTGTACCACTTTTCGGCCGGAATCATTCTCATCTTTCCGTTGTCGAGGATAAAGACTGCATGCGTTTCGGACAGAGCTGCTTCGTAGTTTCCAACCCACGTGTGCCGGTTATCGAAATCCTCCAGGTGCCATGGCAAAGCCTCTTCGTACTTGATCCGTGCTCTTGCAATCTCTTCAGGGGTCATATCCGACTTGAAAACCTGCTGCGTCTTCTGCTTCGGGGCATTTGGTCGTTTCGAGGTGGAGCCGAGGGCGGGGGCGATCTGGGAAAGGTTCTCCGCTCGCTCTTTTTCACGTGCTGCCTTTCGGGCATCAAAGGCTTCACGTTCAGCTTCATCCATCGGCTGGCCATCGATCTCGGTCCGTCCCGAATTTGGATCATGATTTCGTGAACGCGGGTCGCGGCGGTGAAGTCGAACTGGTCGTGTAAATTGTGATTCATCACGTGGGTCGACGCTTTTCTTCGAGGCAAATCGCGCGATGTGGTGCTTAATTCCCTCCATCAGAGCTCGTTTTGTCGTCACCACCGGATAATCAATGTATTTATCACTGAGCAAAGGGCCACTGAACCCATTCGCAGACATGTGATTGTTTGAAAGCTCAAGCATAGGTCGCTCGGACGGAAGGATTGTCTGGGGGTTGGACGTTTGTGGCCGTGAGGGAAGAGTCTTTGTGGCTGTTCCATTGCCAGGAGTGGCGCCAGCTGGTTTAGGCGCAGGCCGTCTCTTCGGTCGGACTAAAGGGTCCGCTGCTTTTGGACGACGAATCCTCATCAGCGGTGCACCATTTGGCCCAGTTGGAGTGCGAGCATTCGAAGGATTCGTTGGGGTCGACATGTTGCCGACGTACAAAGCAGAATTGTACGATCGGTAGAAGGTGACGCGACGGGTTGCGCCAGGGGTGGAAGTATGGAGAAGAATGTAATCTTTTGCCTGTCTTGTGTTGCGACAAGGGTGAACAGGTTTAAAAAAGAATGAGAGATGGGAAAGTCACTTTGAAAGAGCTGGGGGCAGCGACCCGCAGGTATGACGGTTGACCACGGAGTAAATGTTTACCCGTCCCGCTAACACAGTCACGTGCACCGGGGAGATCTCCGGTCTATGTGGTCTGTGCGTCAAGAGGCTCTTTCAAAAATCACCTACACAGTACGTGAGCTCTAACTACTGACCTCGCATGCCATAATCAAAATTGAGAGTATATTTACTAATAGCATCCTTATTGTTCCACTGCAAGATCTATGTTTTCAATTGATATAAAATTTACTGACCGAATCGTTGACCCGGTTCCAGTGGTTTGTATGGACAAGCAATCCAATCACAGCCCTTGAGACAGTTAGCAGGTATCAAACAATTAGAAGATCAGGGACTTACTTGTTTATAAATCTCCGTTCCCCACCATTTGAAACCATCGACCCAGCCTGGGTAAATGAAGACGAAGAAGACAACGACCACTGCAAATGCTAACCCAGAATCCAATGCAGCCGACAAGGTCATTGCATATTTTTCCCACCATGCGGTCCTCCTTCGCCGGATGACATAATTAAACAAAAAACATACAAGGGCCCAGATGGAAAAGTTGAGCCCGGTTGCAGGGGGTATCCAGCTCAGACTGCCAAACAAGATAGGGAAGTTGACCATACGCCAGAAGCTCTTCTTGCTATGTCTCCCCAGAAGCCATGCGCTGAGAGGGGCCACAGCTCCCAGCAAAAAGGCCCAGACAAGCGGACGATATAGCCCTCCGGGGCCAAAGAAGCGCTGAGGCCCAACGACTCCCCAGAGAATGCTGCCATTGAAATGGACTCGAGCAAGTGGGCAATTGAAACCATTGATAGCCTCCGGGGTGCAGAGACCCGGGACAAAAGTGAACATCCAGTTCAGCACACCAATTTGAGTCAGACTTGAGACCAAAGTTGCCATCATCTGGACGCCAAACAGAATCCGTGGTGGGATCTTCATGTAATGGCCAAGTTTGAGGTCCGAGGAAAACTTGATTCCTTGTGCAGAACTGATATATGAGTAGGTCACGAAAATCATGTTCGCTACAGGCCTTCCCGGGAATACAATACCGCAAAGGAGTTGGCAGATTAGATAGAGGCTGCTATGCTGATTGGTGACGGCCATGATGATGCCCACTGGGATGAAAAACACACAAGTAATACCAAGAGCCAAGAGCAGCCCATACCAAGGTAGGTGTGTTGGATAACTTTTGGGCTAGGATCAGCTACTATCAAAGATCAAAGAGAGGTAGAAACGTACTACTCCACCGTGAAGATGGCAGTGGCGAGCATGGAAATGAACACGAGAAGATACCACGTGAGGGGAGCGTCCTTGTAGCGCCTCATCAAGCGACAATGGACATCATCCCCTCCCAATGGAATTTCCTGGCTCGGTTCGTGAGAGCTAGTCCTTGGGATGTCATAACTCTGTCGAACCGTATCATTGCTTCGACGAAGGGGCTGGTACGTTTCCATGTCTGGCACTTCTCGTCTTTCCTCAAAAGCCTTTCTGGTCTGTTGCCAGATGTCCTTCCCATACCAGCAAATGGTGTGAGTGACAAGGGATGTCAAAGCAGCAAACTGAACACCGTAGGACAACACATAGGTGATTGGGAGATAAACTGGGGAGTAATCTTGATAGGCCTTTTCATCGAACAAAAAGTCCGCGGTCAAGATTCGGCTAACGTTGTATGGTCGCCCGGTATTGTCGAACACTGCTGTTGAAACTATGGGCATATATGCAGAGAAAAGAGTATTTTTATAGTCTTTTTTTGATCAGCAGAGTCAATTGAGATAAGATGGGGAGAACTTACAAAGTATTGGGGCGACTACCCATATGACAACCACCAGTCCCGTCACGATGTTAGCCGCTGCCCACCAAGGCGTGAGTAATGGGGAGCCAATATAGGCAATTTGAGCCCAATCGAAGGTCAATGGGAACATCCCGAGACCAGAGGCAACACCAAACTAGAAGAGTTAGTCGAGGCAGTGGAAAACGACCTGAATGTCTTACCAAGTTCGAAATCACAACATTTTTGGGTGCCAACCAAGTGATCACATTAAAATAACTTAGAGCGGGCATCAGCAGTCCCGGAACAAAATACCAGAGAAACGCCCCTGCCCACACAACGACGAAGAATTTATATCGGGAGATACTCCACCCGTTTGCCCTTTTATTGACAGACTTGTGCATTGTAGAGAACATTGCAGTGGACATAAGGGTTCCCGGCCAGATCATAGCCGATGGCCGCACGAGGAATCGTCGAGTGAGACCCGCGAATGCATACCCCAAAACCTGAGTGGATATGATGAGCAGTAGCTGATACATAATTGGAACATCCTGATTGTAAAATTTGTGTTGCTCGACAATAACCTGTTATGGTCAGCTTCGTCGCAAATATTTCGTTGGTGTACTAACATCAGTCGCGAAAGCAAATCCAAAAGAAACATTACTGCTAATATAGACGCAAGCATGTTCCTTCTCATTCCACCGGCCCTGGGCAAGCCAAAGTCTGACTCGGGACGCCAATGGAACAGGAGGGGCCTCGATCTCACCAGAGAGCGATTCCCGGTGATGAAGGGATCCGTTCTCAAAAACCTCAAGAGGATCACCTGTTTGTTTCAAAAGCACATCCCAAAACTTGCCCAGTGGATGGACTAGAACGAGAGCAATGATTGGGGTAATTGCAACACTGGGATAGCGCAAGGAAAAGAAAAGATTGGCGGCAGACCCCGTCAAAGAGAATAACAAAGAGAGAATCCACATTCGTGGTGCTAGAAACCATTAGATATAAGCCAAAAAAATAAAGCATCAGAAAGCAAGCTTACTGTTAATGGAAAGAGTGATATCATCTGTCGCCGGAACCGAAGCTCGTACTTGGGCATACGGCGAATTGTCTGGAGGATCCTCACTCGAGGATTTGGAATCATCATCATCAATGTCAAGAACACTTTCATCATCACTTGTCATATATGGCGAAGACGCCGGTGTCTCCTGCATCACCGGGTTGCCCGGTACGGCCAATCCTGTGGCAAACGAGTATTTCGAATCAGGACCCATTCCCACATCGGACGTAGCGGATGAAGGCCGACGATTGGCTATATCTGCGTACACGCTGTTTCGTCGCCGGACAGAGGAATGTGATCGTTTCGGGGTAGTCCCTGGTACGTTGGAAGAGCTTCCAATGCCATTTTCGAAGCTCGCGCGTTGTAAGCTCCTACGAATGTTCTGACGACGCGAAGCTGAGATATCTTCTTCGGAGTCGTTTGGGGTTCGCAATGCTCCGTAAGAGGAAGCACCCAGGGTGGGCGTCGAGGGAAGAAGAGGGGCGCGCGACATAAAGGCCCGAAAGCGCTGAACAATCCCCGTGTTGGGGTTCACGTCGGGTGGCAGATTGTCGATTTCGGGGCAGTTTCCATTGTCGCTCGCACAATCATCGAAATCAGAACCAGCTTGATCCGATTCAGCGTGAAGCCACTTGCGCCTCGGGGTCGGGGAACAAGACAGCTTCCGCGTCTGCAACGGAATATTGGTCGACGTGATGGTGGGGGATGATGAAATACTTTTAGTATTTCAGGTTAGGGCGTGCAGTAGCTCGAGATCGATCTTGGCATTGAGGAATCAGAATAGAGAATCACAGAGCTAGTGGAAGACTAAGGTCGTAGTGTGGTGAAGACCCCACCCGATATCGGCAGATTTATCTTCCGTACAATTAATTATACAATATATGTCGTATATGTTTCCATATGTACAATGGATTTGGTATCTAATCATTAAAACAGTTCTACAACCTCTTCATCCTCATTCTTAGGTGCCTCGACTTTAGGTTGTTCAGGCTCCCCTTCGCCTTCACCTTCCTCGTCTCGCATCAGGACCTGCACTAACCGGTCGCATGCCTCTGTCACATTCTCGTCTTCAACATGCAAGTGAGTCTCGCGGATCAAAGGGTAAACCTTGACTGCTCGCATCTTATCCCGGCCATCCCGGGTTGTGGTCAAGAGAAGCAAGGTTTCGAGATGGGTCGTGATGATGGTGGGGTCGCTGTCTCGTTGCTTATCGGGCGGCAACAGCTGAAGATCTGGCAGCATGTCCGCAGTATCCTCATCCGACAGCTCCTCTGGACCTGCAAGCGGGAGCAACAGGTAAGGCAGAAGGTTGGCTCCGTCTTCGTCGAAGAGCATTGGATGCGAATCGACTTCGAAAGCCACGTTCTTGATTGTGGATGCAATGCCCTTCCTCCGAATATCGCTCTTGTGCTCCGTGAAGACCGTCAGCTTGGTGATGGGGACCACCTCATCGTAATCCTGGCGTTGGGTGAAATAGGCCCTGCCCTTTTCCGTCTGGGACAGGTCGGCAAACACGTATGATAGGTAATCAAAATTGGCATGCTTGTTGAGAGAACCCTCAGCACCCTTCACGAAACAGTCCATCAGCTGATCGATTGCGTTGTCGGAGGTAGATACGGTTTCGGGGGCTTTTCGCTTGAGGGTAAGCAATTTCTGTAGGTTTTCGTGTTTGACGAGATTGGCCAAAAGCATAGCCACTTCATCGGCGTTGGGCTCCTCGACATTCTGAGGTCAAACACATTAGCCCCACTACTATTCACAGGTATAATACCTGAGACAAACTCACTGTCAATTTCGCAAGCAAATCCTCGATGAACTCATCCTCAGCCAGAAGTTTCAACACCTCTTCATCGCCAGACAAGTTGATCAGGATGGTCAATGCATTCTTCGAAATTGGCTGTTCAAATATATCAGTCGAAAGTCACCCTCCCATGATCGCAGATAACGCACAATGTAATCGCGGACCAAGAGCTTCAGATCGCGAACGGGTAGGAGTTGATGGCGCTTAAACAATTCAGGCTGGGCCGTGGAGAAGCCGACGAGGTTTTCGCAAGCTATGAGCTGTTAGATCATATATCCGGGCGAGAGGAGTTGTCATACCGATTTGTCTGATTTGGGTGTTGCCATGGTGCAGGAATTCCACCAGCTAAAGAGATGTGAGTGAGCTAATTGATATCGTAGGCTGTAGGGACACACCTCTTCAAGTTCGGTTGGCATCTTGGGATTATAATCTCTAAGCCAGAAAAAAGGGCACCTGTGTTGTCAATTCCAAAATCGCAGAATCTCAAAGATTTTTTTTTTCCCGCGGAAGTGGGGGTTTCGACGTCACTGGAAACGCGGAGATACTATGTACTTAGTGGGATATTTGCTACGATTTGTGATACATATGAATATAGAATAATATCAGTGACTACATGTATTGCATAAGTATAAATCTAATCCATATTCCTACAAATATATAACGTCGATGTTACTACATTCCTTCAGATAAAGGTCAGAATTGCCCCCGCCTCTAGCGTTCCCGGAGCTCACTCCATCTTTGACCTTTTAACCTATATGTGCAGTAGAACTCTTTACCATCTCAATATCCAACACCATGGAGAATCCAAACCTCAACGAGATCCATGACTTCCTAATCTCATTGGCCTTCAAGGCTGGGGACATCATCAACAATGCACTCCCAGGAACCAACGACACAGGATCCAAAATGAATAGTCCGTATCCATACAAACTGCAAAAAAGAAAGAAAACAGCTAATCTCTATAGGTACCGACCTCGTCACGGAATATGATCGTGCCGTCGAAAACATGATCTCGACCTCTCTGAGGGAGAAATACCCACATTACGAGTATGTGTTCTCTCTTTCGTGTTGCTAGTATTGCTTCTGATGTGTACTTTCTCTCAGATTCCACGGCGAGGAAACATACGACCCAGCACGCCCATTGACCGATGCCCCTACCTTCATCGTGGACCCCATCGATGGAACAATAAACTTCGTGCATAGCTTTCCATTTGCCTGTGTTTCGCTCGGGTTCGCTGTTGAACGCATTCCGACAGTGGGAGTGGTATATAACCCCTCCACCAAAACCCTTTATTCCGCTATTCGAGGCCAAGGTGCTTTCCTCAATCGTGAAACTCGCTTGCCGCTTAAAGGCGACAATGTCGAGCCCTTGTCGGGACTAGCCAATGCTCTCATTGCTATTGAATGGGGTGCGGATCGCAGCGGGAACAATTGGGAGACTAAACTTCGGACATATGAGAAGCTGGGCAAGTCTAAGGAAAACGGTGGGGCTATGGTGCGCGCGATGCGGAGTTTGGGCTCTGCCGCGTTGAATTTATGTGCTGTGGCTGATGGCACACTGGATCTGTATTGGGAGGGTGGATGCTGGGCCTGGGATGTTTGCGCGGGATGGGTTATCCTCTCCGAGGCCGGGGGTATTATGGCGGATGGCAACCCGGGAGTTTGGGAGGCTCGTCTTGACGGGCGTAAGTATCTTGCTGTCCGAGGTTCTCCGAATGGAACTGGACAAAAGGAGATGGTGGAGGAGTTTTGGAGCCATGTTCAAGGTGAATTGAAGTATTGATTACTTGGCTCATAACCCTCTGAGACTAGTTGAATACGATATAAAGTGAAAGAAACTGCAATTCAAATATAACATTTACATAATTACAGGGTATATGTCTAAGGAAACGTATGTACAATGAAATCAACGCTGGCGCTATTATCTATGACGGAAACCAGCACTAGTCTCCACTTCGAAGCCAGACTCGCTGTCATCCTCCACAACTTCACGATCAGTCCATCGCGCAGAATCCTGCCTCGATACGTAGTTTTTGTCACTGGTGCTCATGTGCGATTCATCTTCGGTCGGTGAGGTATCACTCAGACCACAAGATAGATCTTCCGATAGATGGAGATCGGATATATTTGGTACATCGTCTGTATCCCTTACTGGACCAAGATTGACAGAATCGGACTGTCCTTCAACCTCATCACCTGAACTAGTCGGGCTAACATTTGGAGACTTGGCCATCTCCGCACTTTGCTTCAGAGAATCGTCAGTTTCCGCAGTGGGCGTGTGGCCAAAATGTGTATCAACCATATGTTTTACAACCGGCCAGCCATAGGCATTGGTGAACATGCGCCGCACAATAATGTTATTATGGGCATCGGGCTCAAGTCGAACAAGAACCTTACGCCAAGTCAGATCACGGTGATAGGCTCTCGCAATTTTCTCTTCGCCCTTGAGACCGCTTTGGTTGTCCGCTGTGCTAGCAGGTGGGTGCTCAGTGGGCGCCGATTTCGATTGCTTGCCCGGTAGTGATCCAAATGCTAATGTGCGTCGCTTTACCGGCAAGGGAGGTGGTATATCCTCTGGGTGGTAGATGCGGTCGTGGAAGATTGTCCGGGGTCGCGAGGCAGGGTCCAAAATGAAATCCGCGGGTGGTAAAGGCGGCATCAACAAGTCTCCCGCAGACTCAAAGAAGGTGGTCCTTGGAGGCGTGTGCACTCCTTCCTGCTCGTGCGAGGAATGTCCTTGGGCAATGGGTATTGTGCTATCGCCCTCGCCAGTCTCAAAAGTGCTCAGGGTCTGGCTGCGCTTGTAAATTCTAGCATTCTTGCTGTTAGGAGGATTCCTGCCCTGATTTAGGCGAAACAGCGATAGAAAGCTGTCCAGGGGACTGGAAGACGTATTTCCCGAGAGATTCTCCTTCACCACGGCCGGCTCTGGAATTCTCTGGTTGGACGTATGACTGGGTCGTGCTAGGAATTGTTCCGGCCGCGGAGAGATCCTATCGCCCAAAAGGTCGTCTTTGGGCCTTGTGGGAACCTGGGTCGCAGAATATGTATTTTGTTGACCGGTCTCCATTGTCCGAAGACTCAAAGGCGGTTCTTCATCGAGGCGAGGGAGTCGCGGGGATTTCGAGTTGGCGCCTGTCAACTCTGCCCACCCCCATTCGGCCATAGTTCCAACAATTCCATTGTCCCGCCTCGCCTTTTCAACCCGATCTAGACCTTTCCAGTCTAGGAACAAAAGAGAAGACGTCCGCAAAGGAACTATCCCATCATTCACCACATTCGAGTACACTGTACGATGCTGGAATTTCTTAAGAACCTCGTGGGCAGGACCGCAAGGAAGAATCCGTAGAAGCGGCTTGGAGCCAGGATCCGAATGGCCGGGGTCTTTTGTAGACTCTCCTCTTCCAGCAATAATAGCCCCCCAGCCACTTCGAACTTTCGGTGCCGTCCAACTCAGCCCGAGATCCTGGCCGGTACGACCAACTAGACCTAAATCCAATGCAAATCGAACATACATTGGATTCTCGTTGCTGAGACCAAGAAAAGGGGTCGCAAGAGCAATAAAGTTAACAGGCCTGATTTGCTCGAAGAACTGAGGCGAGTGTTTTTGGATATATGCGATTGCATATGTCTGAATCAGCCCACCGAGAGAATGACCAACAAAGCTAATGCTCGTAATCTGGTAAGCATGGTCTTCATTTCCAGAATACTGTGCATTCTCTTGTGGGGTCGAATCGGCCGAATGAGCAAATGGTTGAGCTCGCTCCTTGCGAGCACTGAAAGGTCGGACAAATGGGTTCGACTTTGAGCCCTTCAGAGGGAAATATGGTTGATCGGGATATGTGAGAAGCAGGACATATTTGGCCAGCCGTTTACCGAGGTACTGAATCCCACGCTCAGTCCGAACAGCATTGCCAGAGAACCCTCTGACAATGACTTGCTCTTCGTCGTCATCATCGGGGTTATCACCAGATTGGCTGTTTTGCTCCTCCTCGGTATTAGATGTACCGCTGAAAAAATGAGGGATTAGAAATTTCAGGTGCCGAGGCGCTCAAAGAGGATTTCATACCTTGTCAAGTTTTCTCGATTATCCAATCCAACAGGGCTGACGTGGGGAGCTTTGGCGTGACTGTCTTTCTTTTTTGACTTTCTCACGGCTGCGTCGATGCTCTCCTTCAAATAGAGCATGTCTGCACCGAGGTTGCTGTGCAACCCGTGTGTCAGTAACACAAGATGAACCGGCTTCTTCTTGGCGCTTTTCGCCGGAGCTTCAGTAGAGCCCTCTGGCGCTGGATTATCGCACGGAGATGGCGAGTCCTGACTCTTCCGATCAACGCCTTCGGAAGCTGGCGCCGCCAAGGGGAATGGGGGGTTGCTCCATAGACTAGTTGTATCGTCGACGTGAAGAGCGATTGCTTTTGAATATACGCCTTTCGAGGCAAGCACCTGAGTACCTCTAGTTTCAGGCAGCCAATGGTCTTGTAACTTTGCCGGAGGCCCCGTCGAGCCATTTCCGCTACCCCATGCGCCGCCCGAGAAATATGCCAGCGATTTTTCATCTCGGCCCACCAGCAGCTCAAAATGCACCGCCGCGCTACTTGAAAATATCACCTGCGATTGTATCTCAATAATCCAGCTAACGCTCTGTCCACTTGCCGGTCCGCCTTGACCGGGAGAGCCAAAGTCGTGAGCTTGCAGGAGATTATCTGGCACCTTGATGACGGCATCCCAACCACCTCCGGCCTTGAGGTAGGGTTCAAACTGCGGTGTACCCTCCAGATCCTGTCGATCATATTTGGTGTTGGGGTCAAACTGCGAGGGATAGCAAGCGGCGTATAGCGTGTACGGGCCATGGAGGTATGCGGCGCGTAGTGGGATGGCAGATGTGTTCTTCACCCTCACGTAGAGATTGGAAGGAATGGGCAGGATCGGATCGGCCGCTGGAGTATATGTAATCGTGTATCTGATTGGCGATTTACTATTAGCCAGAAGGACTTCAGACTTGAGGGGCAATCCTGACCAAACTCACCTAACAACTTCCCCAACGCGAACACTACCAACTTGGTGGATTAACAACATGTCGGCGACTTCCTCTATATCCTCCGGGTTCGTTTGCCAGCCGGAGAGGGTATGAAATCGCGATCTTTTATTGCACAGTTGTGCTGCACCGAGGTCTGGAGTCTGGGAGGCTGAATAAGTGCGTGCAGTGATCAGCATCGAGTCTAAGGGGCAGTTCCATTATAGTCAAGCAAATGCAGCTAGATAAGAGAGATGACAGTATCATTTGGTACATCCCATATGGGGTGTGGGTGGTTTACGGGGTCCAATCTCGGAGATGGCGGAAAACACATGACTAAATTCCCTTTGCGGATCAACAAGCTTGAAACTCCATGGACCCTTACAAAATGCATTTTTCGTGTATATAAGCAACTCTTGGCGTCTGTTTTAGTGCTCACACATGTTGCCGCTTTATGCTCATTAAACCTGAGCCTGATTGTACCTCATAGATAGACACCCTAACCCGCCCAGGGGCCCAGGTATAATGACACTGAAATCCTTGTTTATCTGTGCCAGAGTACATCTGCTTGAATAAACCTGCTCTAGCAAAACTATTTTGTGGAGTATCCAACTCAACAAGACGCCGAGCATCCAATACTGCAATTCGATCAAAATATATGGTTGTGTTAAGCATGTTCGACTATTAACTCGCTCTTAGGATCCGTTAGTTGATGAGATAAAACTAGGAACATACGCTATGAACGACACTGAAAATAGTACAGTCATGGAAAGCTGTTGGTCTTCGCACGGTGTTGTCTCAACAAATGACTTGACACGGGCTATCGCTCCGAGTGAGGTCTCGAGAGTATTCCATGATGTGATGAAGTATGACAATAATTGGTTGAATCCAAGGATATTGTTCAATGCGACACCAAGGAGGCTCGAATCTGTGCTGCTACGCGGCATGATGGTTAATATTACCACAACGGTTGCTAACGCCATCACCACGATGTCCAAGACTAGGTTCAAACACCTCTGTGCGCACAGTATCATGTAGTAAGACTTCTGAAACTGATCAAGATGCTGAGTTAGAATCTTTGGCGAGGCGTCTCGCCAACCAAAGGCCCGAGTTCTTGGCAGACTTCGAGGACTTCGGTAAAGTGAGAGTATAATGGGCTCCTAGACTCCAGATCGAGATATCATAGTTGGCGACTCGTTTTGATCTAAATCTTTTGCATGAAATAGAGTATGACCAGTGTGACCGGCATTGCTGTCGCCATAAAAGTAGACCCCATGGCGACCAGGCCAATGGCAGCACATCCAAAATATGCCTCAGCGGAAGACATCAGCGCAATAGTAAGAGCCGAGTCTACTAGTATAATATCTTGACTGAAGCGATTCAGGGTCACACCATTCACAGTGGCGGAGAAGAAAGACAAGGGTGCCTGCATAGTCATATCCGAAGGCAACCAGTGCAGGCGGACGACCGTCAGATGCATCTACCAGGCGTAACCCACCCCTATACAATGATGAACTGCTCGGCTGAAGTCTAATATATATTTCTATCGTAACTTAATGAATCTCTAACTAATTGATCAAGTTCAGCAAACGGCTAGATTCTTTACAAATTTCCACCCACCCATCTCTTTCGACAGCAACGATCTTTCCATCAATGCAAACGCGTCGCCACTTCTCCTCATCTTCTTGAAAATCGATTCGAACTTGTTCGGTGTCGACATAGGTGACCCTATCTTCTATCACATGTCGACCGCCCTGGTAAGCCAGAGTCATCAGATGCATCGCGTCTTCCGCCGACATAGGACCGAAGCGGATGAACCTCATCTTTCCATCCAGAGGCACTGAGTGTGGAGAAATCAAGAATTCTTTCTCAAGTCGTGGAACAAGTGTAGCAAGTGCATACATGTGCTCAAGCCCACCCACTACCTCCTGGCAACGTGCCTCGTTCGGGCCATTCGAGGTGGTTAATGTGATTTTGCCTTTGAATTGGTGAGGTGGACTACCATCTGATGGATAAAGTAGCTCATTTGCGGCCATCTTGAAGCGATCGCTTCCAAACTTGCGATATTCGAATGTGTCGCTGTCTGCAACTAATGCAGCATGGAGCCCCCAGCTCGCAACAACGGCCCCGTATAATGTGTGGTGAACATCGGTGTCGATATCGGCTCGTTTACGACCTTCATCGATGACCAACTGACTGCCAGGTGAAAACTTGGCAGCAAAGACCGGTATAGAAGATGGGATGCCTCGAAATAGTGTTGAAAGACCCGGCACCGGACCAGATCGTAATCCAATGGAACTGGCCATAGCATTCCCTGTCCCACAAGGAATCAACACGATATTGGGAGATACACCAATCGTCTTCTTGGATTTGTAGAAAATCTCGAGAATGTCGATGAGGCCCCCGTCCCCAGAAAGAAGGATGATGGTCTGAGGGACGCCATTATGAGCCCGCTCCAGGAATTTCGATCGTGCGAGCTCCACGATAGTTTGCGCCGATTGTGTTTCATAAAGCTCATAATTCTCTAACCCAATATATGCAAGAAGGGGCCGTACGACATCTTGAAAGACTGTCTTGGCTTTCCCCGTTCCTGATCCAGTAGATACCACAACCTGGACGATTGGTGGTTCATCATCATGTCGAAGGTGGCTGGGAATCTTGGTCACAAACGGAGATAGTGCTGCAGGCAAGGACTCGATGTCGATCTTTTCTAAGGAAAAGTCCTCAGAGCCATCCAGTTCAGTTTTCCGAAAGAACAGGACACTATAGGTGGGTGCAGGATTGGACAACACGCAGAGAATGTCGTTGAAGTCAACCAAACACTCAACACCTGCGTGAGATGTGTATTTCAGGGTGCTTCCAGCTATATCAACTGCCAAAGGGTCAGGCATCTCTGAGTAAGTAGCGTAGTGAGAGAAAAATCAACAGTTGACAGGGCGGGGTTTACGGCTCACCCGGACTTTTAACCCATGTCGTACCATTTACTTAGTTTAAGCTAGCAGCAATATCACTCTTTAATTACTATGACTTGACTGTCACTTTATCAAAAATTAAAATATTACTTGGTCGTTGAACTTTTTGCCAACATATAATAAATACTTTACGTAGAAAGAACTAAGATGGTTGGATTTTTATAGCAGTATGACTCTATCCATATGTATTGGGACTGGAACGAATATAGAAGCATAGATGTCAAAACATGTCTGATTCGAGAATTTTGATATTCTTCTTGCTAAATAGTTTACTAGATACATAATACATCTGGATAAGGCAGGGGTACATAGGAAGCAGTCCGATCCAAATCTGTCGGTCACAAAATAAAGCAAACAGAGGCAATCACAAATACAATGTCCCCGAGTTATCGATCTTAGTCATGAGTTGGGGAAATGCCACGCGAGGGCGTCGGTGAAGTCCCATCATGAGAGCTATGCTTGTCACTGAGGTTTACCGCGATGAAGGTCTTGGGTAGTTCCACACTACATGAAGTGGTTAGTAAAACTCCAGGGAGGTTAATGTAGTATACAACTTACGTGTTGAATTTCGCCTTCAACGTCTCAATCACCTCCTTCCAATCCTGATGGGCTGTCAGACTTCGGCGTGGGGTGCAGCCAATGGAGTGTCTGGAATCGAGTTGCACGTCGAGCGGGTCGAAGGCGTGACAACCAGGGCTGACTGAGATGCGGATGGAGTAGGAGTAGGAGTCTGATTCACTGTCCCGAGCTTCGTATAGCTCAAAGCAAATCTGAGAGAGATAATCAAGTTCTGGGATAGCACTCCTGGCAATTTTAGTTTGGATTCCACCTTCCAAGATGCAGTTCAAGAGGGTGTAGATATGAGATTCCTTGGTGAAGTAGAAGAAGGACTTGGCATCCTGCGAAGCCTGTACCTCTTCTAGATCTCGAACAATTTCTTGAAGAAGGGGAAGAGATGTTAGGAGGCCAATCTCAAGTTTCTCGCTGTCGGTGATTCCATATTCCTGCGGCGTCACGTAGTCGAACAAAACCTTTGCTAGCTTGTACAGCTCTCGAAGCTTCGAAAGGCGCTCATCCATCTTACACTTAGAGGATTGGGAGCCAGGGAAAAGCTTGAAGTAATGATCGTATGAATCATCTAGTGCCCGAAGGTGGGGCAGTGACTCGAGAGCAAGGATGCGTTTCTTCAACCCAAAGCGATGAACGAACGTCTGGCTTTCGACGCGCTCTTCGGATTTGTCGTTCCCGGCTTCTGGTCCAGGCTTCCCCTCCGCGCTCGTGTCTGTCTTTGCTGCGCTCTTACTTTTTTGATCTTCATCGGAGTCACGGGCATAGTCCTGTGGCATGAAGACCCATTCCAAAAACTGTCTGTTGTGGAGTGCATCGAATTTCATACTGTCGTATAGCTCGGAAAGCTTGCTCGGGTCGACCTTCTCGGTGTCACAGAACTCTGCAAAGAGCTTTTCCCAACGCTCCTTGAAGAGCCGAGGATCTTCACCCGCGCACCAACGGCCCTGTATGCCAGACATATCAGAGGACTGGCTCGAGGTCTCATGGTCCTCGGATGGAGTCAGGGAGATGTGGGGTGAGCCGTCGAGTTTCTCGAAGTTGTTTCGCATGACATCCCGGTGGAACTTCATTAGTTCAACTACCCTAGCAAGGACAACCGAAGGTTCTGGGATGTTTTTATCCTTAGGCCAAGCAAACTGTGAGGGCGCAGACCCTTCTCGCAAAAGCAATTTAAGCTTCTTCTTGACTTTATCCATGACATCCTTGGCGGCATTTGAGTCGTCGAGCAAATCTTTCCGGACTTGTATCAAGTCTTCGGGGATATCCTTCTGGTCCAAAAACGAGCATGCCCATATTTGTGCTTTGAGAGTATCGTTAGCTTGATGCAAATATTAGCAAGGAAAATAACTCACCACTGGTGCTCACTCTACGTTCTGAGCTGGTAAATATGCGAACGTTATTCAATGCCTCCTTGTTCAACAGCTTGAGATCATCCCGCATGTTCAGTCCAAGGTCCTGTGATTGGTAACGCGCAGCATGTGTGGGCTCGCCGCCCCACTTGATCACAAGCTGTAGTTTGTCCAGGATCAAGTCATTCTCGGCCGCGGAGAACCGAGAAAAAGTCGCACCTGAGATAGAATCACTTCGTGTCTGTGATCTACGCAGGTCCTCGTCTCCTGGCGTCAGTTCCTCCCCCTCATTGGGCACAGGTGTAGTGGGCTCTTCACAGGGCTTGGTCTCAGGCAATGGAGTTGAGCCTTCCGGTGGGCCCTGCTCTCCCATTTCTTCTGGCTTTCGTTTCCGGAACATTGGCTTGATCTGTACTTTGGTACCGGGCCAGCCCCCCTTTTTCTCTAAAGATGTGCGGAGCAGCTTGAGCTTCTCCATGTCTTCCAGGCCCTTCTCCATAGCCAGCTTGACGGCATCAGAAACACTGGCCAATGCAGCTTCCCCCTTAATCACTATCTCCTCCTGGTGCCCTTTCAGCAAATTCACAAAGGGTTGGCTATGGAAAGTGAACTTAAATTTTTGCTTCGGGGTCCGATCTGCGTGTCGAATCACAGCCACCATGCCCTTTAGCTTCCAAGAATGTTTGGAAGCAGGAAGGGGCGGAAGGGCTTCGTCATTGGCGTGCTGTACCGAAAGAGCCGGAGATTTCGTGTTCGAGGGACTATAGCCACGAGGAGTGGAGTGAGCTTCCCGCGAATTCAACTTGCTGAGAGCAACGCCAACATCAGTACTCTCTACGCCAGATGACGCCAGTGATGGAGTACAGGACTCTGAGGCATCAGAAGGTTTCGGGGTTTGGCCATAAAGCCTGGAAGTGCTAGGGGACTTCAGCAGTGTCTTGAAGGTTTGGCGATGAGACCCCGCCGTGCTCCTTCTAGATAGGGGGCCTATGTCCGGCGATGGCGGCTCGGACGATTCTGATATCCCCTCGCATTTGCGTCTTTCTTCCAAGAAAATATCCCTGAGAATGTTGGCACATTTATCGTAATAATCATTGTTGTCCTTGACAAAGCTCCAGCCGTTGACGTCAATGACATAGCTTTTATCTCCCACGCGGAGCATGTCAAAGCCACAAATTCTTTGACCAAACCCATTTGAGATCTTTGATGCGATTATTGCCTCCTCCTTGCCAAGTTTTGTGATGTATCGTACTTCCTTCCCGTGGGTATTGCGCCGAACGAGGCCATCGACCACGGGCGATTTGCGCGTCTCTGCGTGACAAAAGTCTGGGCCAACGGTGTAGGCTTTGACGTCTTCCGCGTTGTCAACCCTGAGGAACTGTTCGTATAAATAACTTGCGTCCTTCTCGGTGACGGATCTTGGAATAGTGAGATTGGGATCGTATTCCGAGCTTTTGTTGCCGACCTTTCGGAATAGCCTTCTTCCACCGCCACCGTACTGCTGATCGTTGGGGAAGTAGATGTGAATGTTGTGGTCCTCGCCATTG